CCAGGCATCTGTACAGACTGTTTATCAATCACTAGGGTGAAATCCAGGTGTCCTTTTAGATACTCCATCAATCGAGAGGGGGAAATCCAGGCGTACCTCCTGAAAATCCATCGATTCCAAGAGGTAAACACAGTCATCTTAATTGAAACTCTATATGTTCCAGGTAGGCCATACATGCATTCTTATAAACACTTACAACCAGAGGGGTAGTCCAGGCATCCCCACAGACACTCCTTCCCTTTTGAGTGGGATGTCCAGGGGTCCATGACACTCCTACCGCCCCAAAGATGAATTCCAGGGTTCCCTACAAACACACCATCCATCCCAGGGGGGTAGTCCAGGCATACCTTCAGACATTCCATACGTCCCGACTGGGAAGTCCATGGGTCCAGAGACACTCCATGCTTGTCAAAAAACAAGTCACAGGCACTCCATCCATCCAGAGGTGGAAGTCTGTATCTAGATGGAGTTTCTGTGGGAATACAAATCATTACCGACACTCCATTGGTACACGGAAGGGAGAAGTCCAGGTGTCCCTTATGAAATTCTATTCATGCCAGGTGGGGAGTTAAGGCATCCCCACAGACACTCCATACATCCCGAGGGGGAAGTCCAGGCGTCCCTTAGACACTCTGTAAAACGAGAGGCAGAGGTCCAGTTATCCTTACAGACAGACACTCCTTCCATTTAAAGGGGGAAATCCAGGCGCCCCTCAGATACTTGATGCATTGAGAGGGGGCATAGTCCAGGCTTTACTAAAGATACTGCTTCCATTTAGAGGGTGAAATCGAGGAATCCCTCCGACACTACATCCATCTAGAGGGAGTTGATCAAGGCATTTCTACAGACACTCCTTTCATTAAGCAGCGGAAATAAAGGTGTCCCTCCAGAAATCTAGCAACTTAAATAGACCGGCTATTTGAAAGATGTGTAATTTGATATTCTGAGAACACATCAAGTGTGAAATCTGCAGCTGAAGTTGTCACCTCATTTATCTTTGTGTTTGAGATAATAAGCTAATGCTAGTATGCTAACACATGCTGATAATCATATCCTGCCCAACATTATGATGTTAGCACTGTGTTACACCCCGCCATTGGGCTATTACTGAGAAGAACAGCTGAACAGCTGATGATGAGTAGGGGAGAAGAGACAGCACAGGGAAATATACAGCCTTAACACACTATCTCTGTAACATTTGAGCATTTTTTAGGATAATAGTCAAACGTTAGCCTGAACATGCTTTTGAGTAACATGGTACATTATGGTTCTTTTTCTTTCTTTCTTTTTAAATACATTTTGATTTAAGCTTTAAAGAAACAACTTGTTGGGTCTTTTTTTGGTGCCGACAGTGAGAAAATTTGCTAACAACCACCATCAGATCAACTGAAGTTTGACTTGTTCCTCTTTTTTTTGTTCTTTCGCACTAAACAGCCATTGAGAAGACTCGTTTGTGAGCATAACATTACTACTTTGAGTTTTTCTTCTACCTTTAAGTACTCAAGGGCTAAAACCTACTTCAATAGGTAAATTTAAGTTCAACATGTTACCTTCATCTTTTGCCACAACTTTGACACAGCTGGTTTCGTATCTGAGGCCCAGACCGCAACTTTTTTAATCACCAGCCTGGTTGCTTGCTTTTGCCTTGTTGAGCAGCTCAATGCAGTATTTCTCATCTTGAGCAAGTAACCTGCAGTAAACATGAATCATTTTAAGTTGCAGCAACATGATTTATTAGAATTTCTAAAAAATCATATTAAAATAATTAATAATATAGACTCATCCCTCAATCACTGTGAAACTGGAATCACAAATATCTTTCCCAGAAAAACTGTAGCTACACAGTAAGTTACCAGACAAAACACACAGGAATTCAAACAGTTAACAACACCCTGAAACAAGAATTTAAAAATAAAATAGAAGGGGGTTTAAAAGAGCAAAATGCAAGAACCTTTCAAATGAACTTTACAATCCAAAGGTAATCTAACTGGGATTAAAAAAATAAAAAAAAACAGAGAAAGGATGATTGTTACATAAACCCTTCAATTTTAACTTTGGGGTTTTTCTGATGAAATTTTTCTATTTATAATCTTTGTCAAAAACATATTTTTTCATTTAAAATTTGTGTTTCAGGATTTTCAAGGGTTTTCAATTATATTCCACTTCATTAAATTAATTTAATTCAATTTTCAGTGGACATTTATTATTTTAAAATGTAAAATAAGGGTTTGATTAAACAAAGTAAATTAATCATTTATTTTCCATTTTAGTTGTAAATCTATATTCTATTTATTTTATTTCATTTACTCCTTTAAAGGGAAAGTTACATTTTATGTATTAAATTAAAATATAACAGCATTTGGCATGATGCTTCCAATACTGAAAATGCTTAATAGACAAATCTACCTGTTTGCGCTCAGACAGAAGAAAAAAGCTTCACCATGACTTTAAAGGTCACTTATTATGCAAAATACACTTTAGCATGTTTTTGGAACAGTAACATACATTGCATTCAGAAAGTATTCAGACCACTTCACTTTTTTCACATTTTGGTATGTTGCAGCCTTCTAGTAAAATCAATAAAATGGTTTTGTTTCCCTCATCAATCTATAGTCAATGCCTGATAATGACAAAGTGGACAGAATTTTAGAAATGATTTCTAATTTATTAAAAAGGAAAAACTGAAATATCACACTGACATAACTATTCAGACCCTTTGCTATGACATTTGAAATTGAGCTCACGTGCCTCCCATTTATCTTGATCAGCTTTGAGATGTTACTCCACCTTTACGGGAGCGCATCTGTGGTAGATTAAATTATTTGGACATGGTTCAGAAAGGCACACGCCTGTCTATATAAGGTCTCACAGCTGACAATGCATATCAGAGGAAAAAACTAAATCCGAGGTAGTAGGAACTGCCTGCAAAGCTCAGAGACAAGCACAGATGTGGGGAAGGCTACAAAAAAATCTCCGCTGTATTGGAGGTCCCCAAACGCACAATGGACTCTATAATCTTAAATGGAGGAAGTTTGGAACAACTAGGACTCTTCCTAGAGCCGGCTGATTAGCCAAACTGAGCTATTGTGGGAGAAGGGCCTTGGTAAGAGAGGTGACCAGGGAACCTGATGGTCACTATGGCTAAACTCAAGAGATAATGTGTGGAGATGGGAGAAACTTTCAGAAGGACAACCATCAATGCTACACTCCACCAATCTGGGCTTTATGGCAGAGTGGCCAGACGGAAGCCTCTTCTCAGTAAGACACATAAAAGCCTGCTTAGGTCCTGGTCCAGAGCGCTCAGGACCTCAGACTGGGCCAAAGGATCACCTTCCAACGGGACAATGACCATAAGCTCACAGCCAAGACAACGCATGAGTGGTTTAAGCCTGGCTCACAATGCAGGATAATCGGGCCGATTTGAGCTCAGATTCTTCCTTCCCAACAATCGCAGGGTCTCTCCCGACGCAAGGCTGTTTGGAACCGATTATCTGCTCAAACTATCTTGTAGTATGAGCGGTACAAAGATCCAATCTAAACGTCCCCGATCTGCCCGGTGATCGTCGGGGATGCCCCGATTTATTTCAAATAGCCTATGTTTGATATTTAAAATTTTAAATCTTGACGATTACATCATGAAAGGGTCCAGCAGAAGTTGTGTGTGAGTACAATATAATCACGAGAGAGGGATGTAGTCATGGCGACCAGCGGCATTTTTTTATTTTTCGGTACAGATCATCAGTGCAGCACTTTTCTGAAACTTGTATCCATATAGCTACGATTGTATCTACTTTCCTATATCCTACAACAACTTCCACTTCCTTTTCTTTCACTAACCGCCGTTCGTTGGAGTTTTCAAATGAAACTTTATTAACAACTGTCAATGCTCCGTCCTGATTTCACTCTTACAGTGTGAGCACATAAATCTCAAGGTCTGGTCGGGCGTCGTAAACAATTCAGTCATACTGTGTGAGCTGACATGCCACCCCGACTTTTATACAATCGGGGATAAATCGCAGTGTGAGCCAGGCTTTAGGGACAACTTTATGAATGTCCTTGAGCAGTCTAGCCCTGACTTGAACCCAATCGAACATCTCTAGAGAGACCTGAAAATGGCTGTCCACCCATGGTCCCCATTCAACCTGATAAGAGTTTGAGAAGATCTGCAGAAAAGTATGGCAGAAAAATCCCAAATCCAGTTTTGCAAATTTATTTGCATCATACCCAAGAAGACTATACTGTAATTGCTGACAAAGGTGCTTCAACTACATACTGAGTATACTTACAGTATGCCAGTGTGATATTTCAGTTTTTCCTTTTTAATAAATTTGCATAAATTTCTAAAATTCTGATTCCACTTTGTCATTATTGTCTATTGAGTGTAGATTGATGAGGAATTACCTTTACAGCCTTTAAAGGAGTATATGAATTAGCCAGGTTAGCCTGGTGTACGTAGCAAGGTAACATATGACATGAGAATTTTAGCTGTTATTGTGTTTGAACCAGGGACCATGGTTCCAAGATGTCAGCCCTCAAGTGGCTGGAGCGCAGCCAGTTCCTGCTCTCTGAGTCTGCCTTCTCACCGTTAATGATAGGGCATAGTGCAAGAAAGCCCAATCAACCCAAACCCTTCCAGAGGGGAATGGTTGTACACAGCTCATTTGCATTCAAAGCTATAGACACAGAACAGCCCGTTGTGAGCAGGGCTGAAATAGAGGGGTTTATAGGCATGATAAAATACAGGATCAGAGTGGGTTTTTTGGCAGGAAACTTCAAAGACATGTTTCGGGGACCTCTGAGACTTATTTAAGCTTGTTGAAAAGGAGTATAATAAGTGACCTTTAAATTATCAGCTGTCACATGTTGACACCACTGACATGACTCCAATATTGTGCATTTACAAAAAATAAAATCTCAATCAACTTTAACCTGCTTTTTTTGTAGCAGGGCAGAAAGTCTATGACACACCTTAAAACCTCCAAATTCACAGCCTGAACTCATTTTTACTCTCTTTATTTATGATTTCTGTCTTTTTTCTCCACACATTAAAATATGTTTTTGACTTTTACACTGAACATACTGTGTTAACAAGGATTCTGTAACGTTGTCTTTTTTTAATCATTCATTCTAAACTGCAGGTTTTTTCTTGTGTATTTGACCAAAGAGTTGAAAATAAACAGCCAAACAGCAATGAAAAAAGAAATTCCAGGCTATTTATTATGAACAAAATTAATTAAATTTTTATAATAATACTGCTTTCGCCAAACACACAGATTATTCTAGTTCAGTCATTATAATATCTGCGTATGTGTTGAGAGTTGTTATTGATGGGTTGAAAGGTTTCAGAACTGGATTTCACTTTTGTTTCTAAAAACTTGCTGTATTTATTTACATTCACATCAACAGTATTTATACGACACAACAGTAAAAATATACTGTCCACGATAGAGTCGGCTGTTTTGGTCAGTTTCAAAAACATTTTAAAAAATCTAAACTCTTGGATTTGCAAACAACTTTCCTTATTGTCAGTTACAATTTGTGTCTGTAGTCAACATCAGAGGGCCCAAAAAAGCAAAATTGACCAACCAATAAAACTTCCTATCAATAGATCAGCCTGTCTGCAGAGATCCATCTTCAGGACGGCTCAATGATTCACATATAAGAGAAACACCAACCCACCAGAGTTTGTGTACAAGAGGGTGGGGCCAAAGAGAACAGGTGTGTCACCTGTCAGAAGGTTTAACACTTGGCACAAAGTGAACACAGCATAACCAGTGTTCAGTCCCAGTATGACACACAGTTTTGAAGACACACCTGGTCACAAAGTCCAAAGTTCTAAATGTAAAAATAAATAACTCAAAACAGGAGGTTCATTAAATAGAACAAATTCAGAAGAGGTTCCACATCTGAGCCACTGAAGTCTATTATCCTAAAAGGGCTGTTAATCTGGAGGACTGGCCCTTTAATACAGCTAAAAACCCCCTAATCCAGAGGTGGTTCAATCATGTCTGGGCCTAGTTTAATGGAGTCTGGTCCAGACTGAGCCAGTCTGATCATGGTCACACGTGGAGGCGGGAGTATCTGAGTTTCCACCTCCTGGATCGGACTTTGAAGAAGAAGAAGAGGAGCATGAGGAAGAGGCAGGAGCAGACATACAGGACCACACACAGACTCATGTCTACGCTGTTGAAACCAAGACCCAGAATCCAAACACCTCCTCCTCCTTCTCTCCCAACTTTAACCCCCAGGTCCAAAACCTCCCCCCTCCCATCTCCCCTCAAAGCCTTGTCAACAGGTTGAGGCTCTGTTTTTTCCTCAGCTATCTTCTCTATCTCCTTCATCTCTTCCACTCCTCCTTTCACATCTCTGTGCTCATCCTGTGGCTGGCTGGTCTGTTGCGCAGCATCAGCTTCAAGATTTTGAGGAGGTGCAGGGAGTTGTGGGGGAGTCATGGAGTATTTGGGGGACAGGTTGGAGGCTCCGTAGTGCTGTTGGAGGAAGAGGAGGACGTTGTCTTGGTTCCAGACATGGACGCCATTCTTCTCTTCATGGCAGGAGGAGCAGAGGGAGGGGCTCGGCCAGGGAGCTTTGGAAAAGAGGGGGTCATCACTCAGAGAGCCTGGAGGAGGAGGAGACATGAAGGGAGGGGAGGTGTCACAAATATATAACAAAGTTTAAAACATTTTCTCACTTGTTCCCCGTTTAACTTTCTTGCAAGTTTGGAACTACATTTCCCATAATTCCTTGTTTCACAGAGTATGCATGTACCAGCCAGTCTGTAGTTGACCATGTTGTGTTGGTTCCACAGCCAGAGGATCTGTTGCTCTTTGTTAGTCACTTTGTTCATGCTCTCCTCTGCTGCCTCTTCAAAGTGTCGTCCGCACTGCTCGCAGCCGAAGAACGTCCGGATGTACTGACGCATCACCTGCAGCACCGGGGCCGCGTCGCGCTCCAGACCTGCACAGGAGCATGGTCCAGTCGTAGTAGGGTTAGACAGAAATGCAACATGTAGACTTTTACCACTGCCGTGTTAGTATGTGTGTACCTGTGTTTTCTAGTGCGGTGGGTTTGGCGTCATGTTGGACTGTCAGGACGTGGAATAGAGTCCACAGGGAACATGGGTAACCTCGGAGCCCCGGTCTGCTGCCCTGGCAACCAACCCAGTGAAGCTCCGCCCCTAGAAATACACCTGAAATCTGGGACAAGAACTATGAGGTCAGCTGCTGCTCTGTATGCATGTTCACTATATGCTTGTATGCGTGTCTCACCCTCATCTTGTTGTCCACCAGGTCAAGGACCGCCTGGTAGGGAATTCGTTTCAGCGGCATACTGAGAAGCCAATCAGAGAGAGTCTCCATCAGCTTCACCACAGAACCCCCACCTGGATACAACTAAACAGGTAGAGACAGAGAGAGAGAGGCATAACCATTTATATGGAATGATTGAGAACAAGATACCAGTTATAACCTTTTCTTTCAAGAATCTCTTTAAAACTTTAGTTACAAAAAAAAAAACAGAAGACCTGAAGATTAAGATACCGACCAACATGTGTTCATCAGGTAATGTGATCTGGGTTTTGCTGACAAACTTTAGTCTTAAATTGAGTTGGTGTTGTGTTGTTATCATTTTCAGATACTAACATTTATTCAACCATAACTTTCTTTAATTCAAATGATCATTTTCTGACATATTTAACTTTATTCATTTTCTAAATTGAAAGACATTATTAAAGTGTGATTTAACACCTAAAACAAAAATATTGTGTTCACACGGCATGGTTCAAAAGTTTGAGGAAAATTGTATTTTCTTCGGAGAACGGTTTTTAAGCTATTTCACTTTTACAAACAGCAACTGTGACCCAAACAAATATCTTCATGGAGAATAAGCAACAACCTGTTACGTATAATCAGTGATTCAGCAGGCATGTCACCTGGACATACAAAAAGTAAATAAAACTGTCAAAATACTATTACAACTAATAATAATACACTAACCAAGTTTGAAACCCTTATTGTTGAACTGAAGTTACATGTGGAGAGAATAAGTCTTGATCCAGATGGAAATTAGGATCTTTTGGCAGATTTTGTTTTTGTAATCATAGCTCTGTTTGCTTATTTCTCTGGGATTGAAAAAAAAGTTGCTCAGTTTTGTATTATTAGAGAAAAAAAAACAAAGATATCGCTTGGACTCATGGAGAGAAAAATACAGGGACTGAACCAAGAAAACATCATTGCATACTATACAGAACTAAATAAAGTCCTGTTATTATAATTCCTATATAAAAAATAACAATAACCTTTGCCACCAGAACGACAAAGTCCTTGAAGATCTTTAGCTCCTCCCCCTCTAGGTAACTATGGGTAGCCAGTTCTACTCTCAGCAGGTAGTGGAGGGCTGACTCCAGATCAGCTGTGTACACCTTTGACCTGCAGAGAGACACACACAGGTTTACTCATCATTCACTTCAAACTGAGCCTAGCTGAACTGAGCTGGTCTAACTGAGTCTCTGACCTGTCAAAGTCTCTCCAGGGTTCACTGCTCTGTTTGTCAGACAGCACCCCCAATAGGCCTCCACTGGAACTGCTGCCTGAGTTCAACTGGCGCTGAACTCCAGGTAATGTTCTCAACAAGGAGGAGAAGAAGAAACGTAACTGCTTCTGACTGAAAGAGAGGGGAAAAAAAAGAGAACAGAGGAGGAGAGGAACATAAACGAGAAGTAGGAGGAAGGGGAGGAATGAGGGTGAGATGGAGAAGAACAAGGAGAAGAAGAAAGGCGTGAAGGGGGAGACAAAGGAGAAGAAGAGGAATGAGGAATAGGAGCAGGGGAAGACCGTAGTCGTTGACACAAGTTATTAAAAAAACATTTAACAAAAACTGAAATATTTTCTTTGAATCAGCTAACAAATCATGCAAGATCAATACTAATTCTCCAATTTCTTCCTCAATAAAAAAAGGGCTGAATACTAATTTATTTGGTCCTCTTTTATTATCCTTGTGGGGACCCAGAGTTTAAACCCCGAAAGCAAGGACAGATATATTATCATCATTTGTTTTTTATATATAGTTCAATGTTCAAGACCATGTTTTTGAATAAAGTTTCCAGTTTACATATTTGTATAAAATAATTGAGATACCAGTTGCAAAAGTTTAATTTTCATCTCTTCTCAAATCATAAAATAACTCAAACAGCTGCTGTTATCTCAACTTCAACATGTTTTCATTTGGAGCAAGTCTGCTCTCACATGAGAAGGCTCCTTACGGTTTCTTTAATGGCCCTCACAGACACAAGAGGTACAGTATGAGTTTGTGTGTAACTGTGTCCACTCACACATGCAGTTGTGAGTGTGTTGCATTCGGGTGCAGCAGGTAGATGGAGGGGAAGGTAGAGACCTTCAGGGCATCCAGCAGGGGGAGATCTGAGCTCAAAGCTCTCTTTACCTCTAAACCTGAGAACTGCAGCAGGTCCAGGATCACCTGAAAGACAGACAGGCAGAAAGAGAAAACAAATGTTTTTAATTCTATGCTGAACACATTTAATACAAGTGTATTACTGATGTGCTCTTGCTGCTCTCTCAACAACAGCTGATACAAGGAATTTCCTGATGATAGGTTAGCTTGTTTTGTTGCTGAAGTAACCGCTCAACACTTCCAATCGTAGCTTTTAGCCTTTTTACAGCTCAGCTACTGTAGCTGCTCTATTGGGCACTTTAAGCACTGGGAGAGTGTTCACGTTTAACTTGTTTTATGGTCAGAGAATCAAATCAAGATTAAACTGTGTTTTTTTTATGCACACCAGATAAATGATACACCATCCAATAAAAGTTCAGCTCAGTTTTCATCCTACCTCTCGTCCTACGAAGGAGTCTGGTTCCTCTATGATGATGGCGGTGTAGTGATCTGACCTTTGACCTAAGAGAGGCAGCAGCTCCACAGAGCTAGAGACAGACAGAAAGGCAGAGACAGGCAAACAGACAGACAGACTGATTAATCTACTATCACTTTATTTGTGTCAGTTTCTCAGGCCCTGAAGTGAATGCTTTGAATGTCTCAATTTGTACAACCCACATTCCGAACTAAACAATTACACCTACAGTGTCCGATAAGTAGGATAAGATCTTTTATTTTGATAAGCTGAAACAATTGGTATTTTGGCATGAAAAATATCTTGAAAGATAAATACTTGAATTAACTGCAGATTGATTTTCTGGCAACAGATTATTGTTTCAGCAAAATGACCCGCAGAAAAAAGTGACTCAGAGAAATCATCAATTATCCCGACAATTGGTCACACATTTCATTCATCTAATACAAGGTTCAGAGCAAAAGAGGTTTGTTTTTCACATTTATTATTAATTAACAGATATTCTAATGTACTGTACTATTACCATCAAACCTGAGAGTAAACATACTTAACATTGAAAATAACAAATACTATCTCTTTGTATATAATCACATTGTGCTGTCAAGCCTATAATAACAAACATGAACTTTTTAGAGGCTTTAAAAATTACTGAATTTATCAGATATCTAACGTAGGCTGCATTACCCAATTTAGAGTGTGTGTGTGTGTGTGTGTTGCCTCCCAGCTGACTGTCTCTTCAGGGGGCAACTGTGAAATATCATTGAGAATGATAATTCTTCTTTATTTATTTATAGTTAATGCAGCAGTCACATAGAGCTTCTGGTTCTGGTACCTGTATGGTTTCAGTGGAGGACAGTGATCAGGCCAGTTGAGCTTGGTGTGGTTCTGTAAGATGTTCACCATCAACTGTCTCACTGACTGGATCTCTCTGTCTGCACCTGGAGAGAGAGTTTCTTTGTCTTAAATTGTTCATTACATGTAAAGATGGCTGAGACAAGGTTTGAAGGACAGGCAGAGTGTGTAATAGGTGATGTTAGACTGACGGTTTATGAGACAGATGGTTTGCAACATGTGGTTTGAAACATGTGGCGGGCCAGAGAGATGGTGTGAGACAGGTGGTGTGTTAGACAAGTGGTATTTGAGACGTACAGTTCCACACAGGTGAAGTGTTATAAAGGTTTTGTGTTGAGACAGGTTGTGTTTGACATGTGTATTGAGACATACACAGACAGTCTGAGTCAACTGTGAGGGTGTGAGACAAGTTATTTGTTAAACAGGAGAAGGGAGACTGATAGTGTGACAAAGGAGGTGTGTGGGACAGCGTGTGTGTGAGACAGGAGGTTTGAGACAGGTAGTGTGAATGTGAAAAGGCAGGTTCTGTGTGAGAAAGTTGTGCATCAATGTGATGAGATGAGGTGGCTGTTTTGACACAAAGTAGTGTGAGAGAGGCTGTGTGTGAGCTAGGTGGTACTTGACACAGGTGGCGTTTGATGCACAAGCTAAAGCATTTTTATCATTCATTTCATTTAGGATTTTTATTCATCATTTTATTTACAATGTATCTACAATAGGTGGTGTGAGACATGTAGTGTATGAGGCGGGGTACGTCTAAAATAGGGCATGTTAGACAGGTCAAGTGTGAGACAGGTCAAGTGTGAGAGAGTTTCTGGGAACTTGATTATGAGACAGGTGGGGTGTGAAACAGGTAGTCAGTCTTACCTCTGTAAATTGTCCCTCTGTCTGTCTCTGGACTGTGAGCATGAAAGTACTGTAAACAAACAGATCAATAAAGTTAATACAGTAATTACGTGGCCAAGATGACGCCGCGGATGGTTGCCACGGTACTGCGCTCTCTAGTACTTGTCGTGTTTTTGTTTAATTTAATAGTTTTCTGCGCCTCTAAGCATCGGACTGTCAAACTCTGCCGAACTTTTTTTTCCACCGGTTCTCACTGAACCAGAAAGTTTTGTGGAGATTATTGCCGGAGGAGCTGCAGCTCTCTATTGACTCCTGTCAATTCACCTGGCGAATGTCCGCTCTCTGGCTAACAAGATGGACGAGATGCTGTTCCTAAACACAAGGAACTCTGACTTTTGCAGATCGGCCGCCCTGTGTTTCACTGAAACCCGGCTCAGTGAACACATCCCGGACAGCTCTCTACACCTCCTGGACTTTCAGCTCCTCAGAGCGGACCGCGTAAAGGAGCTTTCTGGGAAGACGGAATATGCTTCTACATTAAAGCAGGTTGGTGTACAGATGTCCCAGTGTTGAAGAAGTCGTGCAGCCCTAATCTGGAGAGTTTGTTCATAAACTGTAAACCTTTTTATTCACCGCGGGAGTCCTCAGGCCTGTGTAACAGAGGCGTTACAGCACCTGGCTGACCAGATTACAGACGTGGAGAAAAAAACTTCCTGACTCTCTGCTCATTATTCTTGGTGATTTTAACAGAGCAAATCTAACCCACGAACTTCCAAAATACAGACAACATATTAAGTGTCCCACCAGAGGAGCTAACACACTGGAACACTGCTACACAGTAATAAAGGATTCATATCACTCTGTTCCCTGTGCAGCTTTAGGACTCTCTGACCACTGTTTGATTCACCTCATCCCGACCTACAAGCAGAAGTTAAAAACTGCTAAGCCTGTAGTAAGGACTGTTAAGAAATGGACAGAGGAGTCAAAGCAGGAGTTACAGGCATGTTTTGATTGCACTGATTGGAGCTGCATCAGCAAACCTCAATGAACTCACTGACACTGTGACATCTTACATCAGCTTCTGTGAGGACACGTGTGTGCAGACCAGGACCTTCTGCACATACAACAACAACAACAACAACAACAACAAGCCCTGGTTTACACCTCAACTTAGGAAGCTGCGTCAGGCCAAGGAGGAGGCCTACAGGAGTTGGGACCGGGACCTGTTCAAGAAGGCCAGGAACAAGCTGACGAGGGGGATCAGGGTAGCCAAAAGGAGCTACACTGAGAAGCTGAGGAAAAAAATCTCAGCTAACGATCCTTCAGCGGTTTGGAGAAGCCTGCGAGAAGTCACAAGCAACAGGAGACCCACCCTCCACCCTGCAGGTAACAATAGACTGGCTGAAGACCTGAACAGCTTCTATTGCAGGTTTTCACAACCATCACCCAGCCCATTAACACCACCCCGACACTCAGACTATGATCTTCTTGCTGCCCTAACAACCCCCTCTGACCCCCCACCTGCACTAACGACCTGCGAGGATGAGGTAATTCAGCTCTTTCAGAAACAAAAGATCAGGAGACGAGTCTGCTTCCAGACGGGAGGTGGAACAGCTGGCTCTCTGGTGCAGTCAGAACCATCTGGAGCTGAACCCGCTCAAGACTGTGGAGATGACAGTGGACTTCAGGAGAAGCCCCCCTTCACTCCCCCCTCTCACCATTCTGAACAGCACAGTGTCTACTGTGGACTCCTTCAGGTTCCTTGGATCCACATGACGCTAAACAGTCACAGAGTGTCAGACCTGTCGCAGTGAAATGACTCTAAACCAACCGTCACTGTGAATATATGTATATATATATATATATATATTATTTAATTTAAATGATCAATAGACGCACACTTATTTCTGTAAATACTGTAATTGACATCTTAATTGACCCATATGTCACATAACTGCATTTTACTCATCATGTTATTTCAGCATCTTTTTCACTATGCACCACTGCACTGTTTCATGTTTAGTCATGTAAATATTAATCTTTTCTTATGATGTTTATTGTTGATATTTTAAGTTGTACCTGTACATAAGAGAGCACAGTTCACCAAAGTTAAATTCCTTGTGTGTGTAAGCATACCTGGCCAACAAATCTGATTCTGATACATGTTGTGAGGTTTTTATTTACTGTAGTACTAACATACACTCAGTATACAGTGAAGGTAGAAGTGACGTCACGTACTTTGAATGTTGGGTAGAATTTGATGCCGTACTCTTTACACACATCGAAGTTTTCCTCCTGAGCGCAGTCCAACACAGCCACACTGAGAGCCTGCTGCCAGTCTAAAAGACAGACGGACAGGGAGACAGACAAGCAGACAGGGAGAGAGAGAGAGAGAGAGAGAGACAAGAGGGGAGGGAGAGAGACACAAGCAGGCAGAAATAGACACAGATAGAGACAGAGATGGCAGACAGACAGAAGGAAGAGAGAAAGACATAGGTAGGAGAGAGAGACAGAGACAGGTGGACAGGCAGACAGTCAGAGAGAAAAAAGACAGGCAGGAAGAGACAATTGAATTGAGTAAGGGAGATAAACAGGGAGGGAAAGAAGATGGCAGGGAGAGACAGACAGAGAGAAAGATAGACAAGTGGAGAGAATGAGACAGAGAGAGAGAGAAAAGGGGAATTGGAGACAACAAAAACAAGAACAGAGAGAGACAGACAGACAGACAGACAGACAGACAGAGAGAGACAGTGGAAGAGGAACAGCAGGGAAAGAGAAACTCAGGAAGTGGTAAAGAGGTGAAGACAGAAAGACGAACAGAGAGAGAGAGACAGGCAGGGGGAGTGAGACAGACAGGGAGAATTAATCGTTGTGGTCTTTATGAGCGGTACAAACATTCAATGGTCACTTAATCACTTCCACATCTACATCTGCTGTTAATGTAATAACTAATCTGCAAATCAGGTGGCAGCAGCTGACTCATAGATTAACAGGAACTCCCTGTAACCAGGGGTTACAACAGGAGAGCATCTCCGGTTACATGCAACCTGTATGGCAACAGATGAGCCAAAAGGGATAATACACTGCAGCAATAGAAGAACAACACAACTTCCTGTCCGGACATAAAACTGAAGAGAGGATGGAGAAGCTTTCTGATGCAACTTACAAACAGTGATTTGTGGTAAAGTCTTTTTATTGATATATGTAGATTGGACAAACTAGTAGAGATGCACCAATTAAAATTTCAAAATGGAAAAAGGTCACATGACCCTCTCTCATACTCAGACAACTCTACTTCCTGCCTATTTATGTATTCAATGACTTGCAGTCTTTAACCTTTCTGCCTCTCTTTCTTGCTGTGTGTCTTGTTCTAAATCGGTTAATTATCAATTTGCATCCATCTATAATAGTTTCTGCAGTGTTAGGTCTCACGCAGAGGTTTTACATTGAAGTAACCCTACGTAACTTAAGAATATTATGGTATATTAATTAAATAATATTTTGATGTACTGTACTCTTACCATCAAACCTGAGAGTAAACACTTAACGCCACACACCCTGCTTCTCTTCCGTTCATAGAGCCCTGCCCTGTCTGTAATGAAAAAAAGTGTTGCTCTAAAGTTTAGAGTCTAACCCAACATAATCTATTATTTGAAAGCACACCCATGTTTAGCTTTTGTATTTTTTTATTTAATAATTACATGAATTGATGTGCTTAATTGTTTTTTTTACTTCTGAAATCAAACATTATTGTGTGTGTGTGTGTGGGCTTCCAGCTGAGCGTCTCTCAGGGGGGCAACATGGTCTTTTTTTGTCTCAGACGTCCTTTGAATCCGACAGCAGGTTCCACAAAGAGAGAGCGAGAGAGAGAGAGAGAGAGAGAGAGAGTGAGAGAGTGTGTGTGTGTGTGTGTGTGTGTGTGTGTGTGTGTGTGTGTGTGTGTGTGTGTGTGTGTGTGTGTGTGTGTGTGTGTGTGTGTGTGTGTGTGTGTGTGTGTGTGTAAGGGTGGCAGCTGGTCTCAGTAGAAAGATTCCCCTGAGAGTTCAGGGGCAGATGGGGACTAAACACAGCAGACTGGTTCCCACAGGTTGTTCTGTCAGTCTGCTCAGGTTTTTGCACATGTTGGAAATATAAACAAATAATGGAAACTTTCCTTTAAATGTTGCAGTCAGCATAAACCAGATTAGTTGTTCCTGACTGTAATCACAAATGTTACAGCTGTTTGTTACTTCAGATTTCTCAGAATTTCAGAGAAAAGCCAATATATAAATACATCTGCTGTAGACATAAGTTATTTCACTAATGTTCTTATTATGTCCTATAATAAAAACACACGCTTCTCTCATTAAACAGTTAACTATGATAACCACGACTATGAGCAAACATTTTAGTTTTGGGTGCTTTTTTACATTTATGTTGGGGCTTTTACTTTAATTTAGATAACACAGTGGATAGAGTAGGAAATCGGGAGAGAGAGTGGAAATGACATAAGGGAAAGGAGCCCCAGGACGGACTTGAAACCGGTCAGTCTGTTTGATAAGACTATAGCCTCCGTACATGATGCACCTCCTAACCTCTAGGCCATCAGTGCCCTGTTTCATGTGTCTATGAGGTGAAGTCTATAGTCGTTCTTCTTTTTGACTCAGCTTCACTTCCTTTTGGACAGTTCCACATTTGTCTCAATACTCTGGTGGATAACGTTGATATTAACAACACAAAAGACCCCCTGATGTGTTTTGTTTTTTAAAAACTGTCACTGACATAGAGATTAAAACCAGCAAACACACATACAGCTGATTACATTTGTTTATTCAGCTTGAATGTAGGCTAAAAGACATTTTCTATGAACAACCAAACAAGATGTTCTCTTAAATCATGTTAAGGCTCGTTGTTCAAAGTGAATAAATTACACTTGCTTTTAGCGTTTCCTCTTCAAATGACATTAGAGCTTCTTTAATAGTTTGGAGACCGACATCTCACCTGCTGTCAACTCGTTGTTCAACTATTTCCGAGTTATTTATAATCATAACCTGGCCTATCTACAAGATTTTTTTTTCTGGTTTTCTAACATCAACATGGGAAATAAAAACTAAAACACACCCTTGCTCTGTTATATAGTTGTCACGTGTATATTGCTCAACAAATAGGAGTCTCTTAACACTAACACAAACTTTAAAAACCAAAGGTATTCTGCAAAGGCTAGCTACGTGTTTCCACCCCCACTCGTTTCCCTATCAGTGTCTCTCTGCAACACTATGAACTTAATCCAGCTGAATATCACTGATATACTGTCTGTACGAGCAGCTCTGAGTGATAATGGTGGTTCTTATCTCAAATACTTCCAGTTTTAGTCAGTGGTTTGAGTCCATGTGAAGTAGAATCATCGACTGGTGTCTTATTAACATAGAAACCTACTTCTGGACATCAACATGGTGAATTAATGTTGTAGTTCAAACTGTATTAAGCCCGTTTTTAATGGGGTCAACCAGAACTTCATTCAAAAATCTGCTACTTGTGAATGGCTTCAGAAACAGAAAACCCCTAACCCTGTATTAGTCACATGACGCAGAACTGAGCGTCGATTGTAATTCACAGTCTATTTTTGTATTGTGGAAATGCCAAACTAAAAGGGGGAGATTACAGAATCAGAAAACATGCTGAGTAATACTTAATCACTTTACTGACAAAGCGAGACTGTCGGAAATGGGAGGCTTTTTGAATGTTTACAAAAGAGAACCAAACCGAGTGTGTCGACTGAGATACCTTTGACGTCCCGGGCCAAAGACTTCCATGTGCTGGAGTACTGGATGCAGTGACCACACCAGGAGGAGAAGAACTGGACCATCCAGGCCGAGGTAGAGTTACTGACGGTGGGCTTTAGGCTACTGCTGCTTAGGATCACCAGCGGGTCCTCCTCCGTGTACAGCCTGGCTGCGGTTGCCAGACACCCGGGGACGAGCCAGAGAACGACCGCCGCTTTGAACCAGAACCGGAGCATCCCTGATGTCCGGGGGAGGGACACACCGAGAGCAAGGCCGTCACTAATCTCGAGAGTTTCTTCCAAAAACAATCACAGGGGTCCGAGGAGACATGAGAGCAGCTGCTCCGCTACCAGCTAGTTGTGGTTGTGTTTACAGCAGAGAGAGCAACAGAGAAAACAGCCGTCTCACTCTGTGACGATTTCCAAAGACAATCGACCCAGTAAGGGTTAAACATAACTCCGCGAAACACAATAAATGGTACTTTGAATCAAAGCTTCATCAACGAGTGTTATAGGTTGATAAAGACAAAAAAAAAAGAGAAGCTATTTAAAGTAATAACAATTTCCTCGAAATATTGGAGTTGCCATGGTAACACGACTCCAATGTATCTGCTAACGGGAGGCATTTGTTTTAAACGTAGAGAGAATTATGTCTTCAATAGACGATCTTTGTCAACTGAGATAGACGCATGGGTTGACGTAAAACGTAATGGCCGTGCTGCTTGAGTACCCGAAGATTTCTGATTTCTGCCTAGGATACAGCAAAAGTTAGCAAGCAAATGCAACATTGAATTACCCTCCTAACCGATGATTAAAATAGTGAAACACCGTAAACTGATAAAAGTCTATTTAAAAATAACAGACTATCCAGCATGTTCATAAATTTATTTTTTTAGGCTATGTGTTTTGTCTATTAATGTCTTATGAAAGATGGGCCAATTATTCCTCTTTCTGCTCCGGTTCCTTCAAATTTGAGATGTGTATTTTATTATTATATTTTTTTTGTGGCTGAATGAAATAAACCTATCAATAGGGTAATATAAATTAAATGCAGCACTGCTTTACTGCCACCTGCAGGCCGTTTGTTAAGAGCCGTAAGCGAATCTCTCCGTGATGATAATTTCTCATGTTAATACACTTTAATAAAAACATGATGCATTCAGCCTGGAGTTAGGGCAGGCCAAACATTTATCCTGAAACTTCTTGCTGGGCTGTCTTTTTTTTGTCTTCCCCAGTGCAGTTGAACCAGTTGAACACTAATGGTTAGCGTCCTGTTTCTATAGCAACGCAGCAGCTTTAAGCCGCAAGTAACATCAAACAGGTAAGAAGAAATATTTTCCAATTCATCACCTTTTTAACAACGTTTTTATGAGCAGTCATATAAGTACTACAAGTAGCCTATCAGTAGATACCAATACCATCAAACTGTGTACTGTAGCCTCATAGTAAAATAGATAGAGGGCTATTGGTTTAGAATTCTGGAGGCCCTATTTAAAAAAACACGTCCTCATGGATTATGTTAATTTGTACTGAATCTAATAAATATTCAGTTTGTCTGAAGCAGTTTTCAGCCTCAAGAGTTTGATCATTTACTCTAAAAACGTTATCAAAAACGTTCAAAAGAGTGAAGGCATATGTGTCAGAGGGACAGCCTCTTTTTATATTGTTTATGTGAATTTAAGTGTCAAATAATTCCAGCGGTAATAAACTTTTTTTTTTTTTTTTACATTTTCCTGACACAACTATGCAAACTGTTTGTGATGTAGGCTCCTTGTCTTGATGTTTTTTGTTTGTTTGTTTCTGTATGATATCAAACACTTGTTGACAGTGTCTTCTTCCAGATTTGTTCCACATTCTTTATTTTGCAGACCTCTGTTTGTGGCATAATTTATAAACTCCTGATGTTTTCGTTTTTACGAGAAAATAAAATCAGATTCAGTTCCAAAAATAAGAAAGAAAATAAGTGATTTAGTAAGCTTTTGTTTTTGTTGTTAATTTCTTTTTTACAGTCTATGATTTGGAGTAGGACCTGATAAGTATTAAATCTAGGCATTTTCTTTGAACGGGAAGTAGTTTTCACTAACAATATCCACCATTGTGTAACAAAGTATAAAACCATATCTTTATTTTATTTTTAGGAAGTAGTTTTCACAAAGAATACACATTTATATGAATGCCTTAAGATGGCAGTTCAAAAACAAACCTGTAAACAATATTCATATGTTATATTTGTTTTTGAACTGATAATACGATATAACACAATATAACAAATCTCCTGCATGTCCTATGTGACTATGAACAACACATCTTTGAATATGTTTTCACCACATGGCTGTGTGAGTCAGTCAGATAGTGGGTAGAGTGTTATTCAGTTAGTAAGTGTCAGTCAGCTACTCAGGTGTTGTGTCAGTCAGTAAGTCAGGTATAGTGTCAGGTCAAGTTTATTTTAGCAGCAAGGCAATTCAAAGTGCTTCAGACAAGACATCAGAAGCATCATGACAAAGGGGTAAAATAGAACATTTAAAAACCACTAAAACAAACCATTAAAGCTCTCAGAGAAATATAAATATGAAAATATATATATATATATAAAAAAAAACATTAATCACAAAATATAAATAATCTCAAATTTGGAATGTATTTATGTAATCTGCTCTGCGTGCATTTCAATGTTATATTTCTCTGAAGCCTTATCTTCCCTGTCAGTCAGGTGTGGTGTCAGTCAGTAAGTTAGGTATGGTGTCAGGCTAAGTTATGTGTGTCTATCAGTAAGTTAGGTAACGGGTCAGTCAAATGTTTTTCACTAATCCAGGTATGATGTAGGCCTAACTGTTATTTGAATCTTTTTACCATTGATAAATCCCAGTGTCCTCTTACAAGCACTACATGTTTAACTTTATTTTTAGCTTGATTCCTTTGATCAAATCAGTCAAATTTACATGGAACATCAATTAACAATTCTTAATTAGCAAACATGGTGAGGTTTCCGTAGGGAGTGGACCTGCTGCAAAGCATTTTTGTGAGGATTGCCGCCATTGATACTGATCAGTGTAATTTACTTTTATGAACACAAGGTGGCAGACAAAGTACCAATGAATGAGGCCAACACACCAAAGTTGAGCAAAATGTATTATTATGGTCCAGCAAAGCCAAAATGTTACGTCCCATATGTGACCGCATGCAGGGTCTCAGGAGGTTAAATAAGGCATTATATGCATATAGGCAATTATATGATGATAATATTGGCATCCCGTGGATTTCACAGTAACTTTAAATTAGGTTAACTTTGACAGGCTGATGAAAAATGATCTTGTAATTATTTAAATTTATTGTTTATTTTTGAGTTTAGAGTCTTACTGTCCTGTTATGTGTAGCCTATATGAATGAATGACTGACTTTTGGTAATATTTTCAAATATGACATTGGGTTTGTCGCATGCTTCTTTGATAAACATTAAACAGACTTCCAGATCAGATATTTATTCTAAAAACATGATGTCAAATGCACTTACAGAGTCACATGACAAGTTCACTTTTATTGAAAACACTCACATATCCTAAAGACAGTCACATATTTTTTTTATACAACACCATTTCCCACAAACCATCAGGCTGCTGCAGGTTAAAGTTCAGTTAATTGTTGTTGACGTTCAAAGCATCGTTTGAACTTCGACCACATTTAACTGGGTCAGTTCAGCCACATTTTAATAAAACAATATTTTAGAGTACTTCAGAGAACTGCAATCCTGCTTGACATCATCTGATTTCATGATCCTTCACAGAAAAAACATGTCTTCTCCAAGGTTGGGCGTGGTCAGAGACTCCATGCTGATCAATCCTCGGATTGTAAAGGTGAAATACAGACAGACACACACACGCACTCACACACACACACTCACACTAGCATCCATCAATTACTGTATAACTCTAAGTGACAGTTGTGGGGAAAAAACAACCACCAGGAAATTAGCGAATGGCTATTTTAAGGTAAAACAACACATTATTTTATCCAACAACCAACAAGTTGTCTCAGGTTTTACTTCCTTGCGGATATTGACGTCATACAGTTTTTGTAACATCTTTAACTGTCACTGAATAAAGTGTTGGTCTCCTAAGTCTAACCCTTTCTTATGAACAATAGATGGCAGCACGGGTCTAACGAAAACAGCAGTGGAGGGCCTCATTAATTTGCTGAAGGGCCCTGGGGCAAATAAGGATTTGAATAAGGGCCCCCAGTGACAGCCTCTGTATCAGTTGAAATAATCAAATATTTATATCAGGATCAGTGCCTAATAAAGACATATCTATGAGATGCCCATCTAAGCAAATGTCTTTTCTTCCAGGGAACTGCTGGTTTCCCCTAAATTCTATGAAAAACCAGTAGCTACATTTTGAATGGTTCACTGTGGTGCTATGTATCTTTAATGATGAAGAATATCTTTCTCTCCCTGTGTGCAGGCGCCTCTGGGTCAGTCCAGGTCCGTTGGCCTGTCAGTTCCTGGTCCAAATTTCACTTACGGAACCAGCAGCTCGCACAGAGATGGGGGTGTGGCTGAGGGTAAGCCCCACCCACTATCAATAAGATAAACATCAAAGAATGTAACTTAAAACATTTAACATCAGCAGGAATGGTTTACCTGTTAGCATGATGTTACCTTAGCCAGTGACAGAAGTTTGCAACAATTTTATTTCACTTTTGTGGTAACATCATTGTGTAACATTAGCAGCTTATATTCATGTTAACATTAGCTTATAACAATAGTAAATAACTTTAGTTTGTAGTCTCAATTTGCATTGACGATACTCAAGAATGAACTAATGCTATCAAAGTCAGTCATCTATATTCCTTAAACAAAATGACAACTTTATAAAGAAGAAAAAGGTAAATAATCAAACATCACAAAACGACGTAAATAGCTCCGCTAACTTTATCATTTACCATTAGTACTGAAGATATAATTTTACATATAATAATGTATTGTCTTTATTATTATTATTTATGTAAAGAGACATTTTTAAAGAAACTTCTCCTACTTATGAAGCCAAATAAACAATTTAAAGTGAAACATTTATAAATATCTGTTTCTTAAAGGACAGAAATGCACCAAAACATGGGATCATTTCATGAATATGTTATCCTGCTGTTGCTTGAAATAGCCACAAAAAGCTATCTTTGACATCTTCCCTGGTAAAATTTCAACATACACCTTCATTTATGTGTAATATAATTCCAATATCATATTAGAAGAATACAAACAGGGTACATTTCACTGCGCTACCACTGCATTGACCTTGAGTATTTTATTTAGGTTAAAGAAGGTGATGTTGCTTCTATTTGCTGAAGTAAGGATGAGTTTTGATTGAAGGGTTGTACTTTAAGTGTGGAATTAGTACGTTTACTGTAGTAAATATGCTTCTTTTTAGCATGCATGAGCGGCAGACATCTAGCATTAGCATATTGTTAGCTGTAAATAAAATAAAATAAATGGGAATAATTTTGCGTGTGTGTGTGTGTGTGTGTGTAAGGTTTAGCAGCGGTCAGCTGTCACAGTGTGTTTCCATGAAATAAACATGCCTTCAGGCAACAATCACTGCTGTCACTCTGTTGAACACACACACACACACACACACACACACACACACACACACACACACACACACACACACACAGACACACACAGACACACACACACACACAGATTTGATGGGTTCTATGTTTGTAAAGAGATTTTATTTAAAACATTGGTTGGTTTACAAAACACTGAAAGGTTTTTTTTGTTATCTGCTGCTCTGCTCCGAAGTGTCACTCTGTGATGGTCTGAGATCAGGTGTTCCACAGATCTGAGACAAACTTAACTTCTCCTAAGGTTATTTTGAATCAGAGCTTTTGATTTTGTTTGAATTTTAGCAAGTTCCTCTTAAGGTTTTGTTGTATTTGAATATCCTTCTGTTCAGTTTTTAGTTTTTAAAAACTTTTTAGGTGAGCATTGAAACATGATCTGTTACTGTAAAATATCGCAGTGAGACCCACTGGGCGTTATAGTCTTGAATGTTGTACCTGTGTTTTATCAGTTCTGTCTGGTTGGAGGGTTCAGCCGAGTCGTGGAGATTCTGCACCTCATCAAGCTGTAATTCCAGACTTCGTGTCCCTGAACCGGGATGCGGTAAAGTCCGGGCTGGTGACGTCCAAAGAGCTGAGTCAGTACCGGGCTCAGAGGGGTGTCGCTTACAATGCCCTAAAACCGAAAGAGAGCTTGGCTTCTCGGTGCCCGGTGGTGCCTGACATCACATTTGGAGTCCCAAACAGGTCATTAAGTTATCCACAGAGCTGATTATTGATTATTGATTGATTATTAAGAATTCATTCATCCCTCTCTCGATCAGGCCTTCATCCCCCCTGTCAGACCTTCTGTCTCATCAGTATGGTCACCGCTGGGTGGACAAGCAGCTAACCAGGAGTCAAATCAGCAACAACAAGCAGAAGCTGCAAAGGGTGAGAGAGACAGAGTCAAACTCAAACTCATTATTTTAGGACAAAAAGATGCAGGTCAGAAAGAGGACACAGTTCTTGACAAGTGTCCATAAAGTCTGTCCACAAACTCACAATACTTGGACACAGGAGCATACAGGAGCAATAGAAATCAAGTGCCCACAAAGTATGTTGATATGGTGACATTAAAATGACTCAACCTCTATATGGACAATAGGACACATGTCCCCACCATTTAGAACTGGTAACGTTTAAATCTTTGATTACAGCTATTTACGAATGCTTCACATGAGCTTAATTAAAGTACCATTCCCTAACTGTACAATCTTTATCATTCTGCAGTTGTCACTGTGTGTCATTCATTTAGCATGAATATATATTTTCAGGTGAGGACAGAAGACTGCTTTATGTGCGTATTTATTTACAAAAACAGTTTTAGTTGCACACAGTTACACAGCACAAAACTATATCTGACTGACAATAACATAGTCCATCAGGCTAACAACTTGAGCTTGATGTTACTAATAAATTGGAGATTGAGTCTATCATACATGAAAAACATCGATTTTGACTGCTTTTATGATAGATATACATTTAAGAAAGAACAAAAGGTGTCTGTGAGTGTTGAGAAACCACCAACATTTTCATCATTTTTCATTTCTTGACTTGGTCTTGGTTAAAGATTTTTTTAATTGGGTTAAGGTGAGGGTCAGTGTATGGAGTAAATAGTTAATGTAATGTCTATATGGAGAAAACATAGCTGTGTGTGTGTGTGTGTGTGTGTGTGTGTGTGTGTGTGTGTGTGTGTGTGTGTGTGTGTGTGTGTGTGTGCTCATGTTTGCAGATTAAATCAAGTAGTGTTCAAGACAACAGGACTAGCCTGCTGAGGAGGAGCAGACCTCTGCCCGTGACACAGACTCCATTCAAGCTAACTCACTTCACACAGGTAACAACTTCTTAGTGATGCTAAACTTTCGCTACTCATGATGATTACAGAGGATGGTCTATCTGAAGGCCAGTTGAATGTTTGAGCCTTTCTATGTTGGCTGACGAAAGTCATAATAAATTAATTTACATTAAACATGTTGCGATGAGATAACCGATGTCAATTCAAAATCACATATATAGGCTACATCTGTTACGCCTCACCATAAGGCGGCCCTATGGGGCTAACAACAACATACAATTTGACCCACTAAAGTGCTTAAAACACCTAAACAAAGTCAAAACCAAGGGATTGTTCTATTTATTTGACAAACATGTGAATCATATAACAAAGTTCAATGCTATTTTAGTTTAAAAAAAAACACAACAAACAATCCCTGACTGAGAAGCACCACGCAGCATTCTCATCTCCAAAAGCCTCGCAGAACTCAGCACTGGGCTTTTAAGCACTCGAGGTGCACCTCATTGTGTACTCAGCAGATTCACCTGGGCAAAGCGGGAGGCAACAGAAGGGGAAAAGATACAAACAGCATATTGAACAACATTCAAGAGGAATTCAACATAAAATGTTGCAATACAAAAAACGTACTGCAAAAGAATTAAGTAAATACATTAAAAAGCAGAAAATACCGAATGATGAAAAGTCAAAAACACAAACCTAGATAACAAACACATCAGTGAAAAGTTGCCAATCCAGTTACTGCAACAGAAGCGTTACAGGCCCCTATAGAGGGAGGGCTGAACTGGAATTTGGTTAAATTTATTTTATCTAAAAAAAATCTTTCCATATTTATCCTCATTTTATCCTTTCTGGTTTTAACTTACTTCCTAAGCTGAATTCTGCCAGAAGAACCACATCCAAAAAACTCCTCTCTCCTCCTCCTCAGGTCGCTCCTGCTCTGGACACCTTCAGGGACCAGGAGGCTCGTCTCCAGGCATTCAGGGCTCATCAGTTAAACTCTGAGTCCAGGGGAAGAGCTCAGGATCTGGGGACACACAGTCTGGACTTACCTGAGGCCAAACCATTCTCAGAACAAGTCAATAGGAATCAAAATAAATAAGCCTCTTTTCACTTTATGCTTTTCTTACATACATCTGCTTCAATGATTTACACCTAAACAGCTTAAGAGAATGGAGAAAGGGAACTGGGACCTTTAAATGTAATGTTGATGAAGCTGTTATTGATTGTTCTTGTTGATCAGCAGACGTTCAGTCACATCATGTATATTTATGTCATCATTATTCATTGGAATTTATACTTTAAACCAATGAAAACCTTGTATTTAACTAGAATTATGATTGATATTAATCATGTTTCAGTATTGGCTTCTTTTTGTGACGATTGTTTGACCTACAAAGAATTACCACTGACTTTGCATAACACCTATTGCATGAAAGAGGGATACAGCCATGTGAAGATTTTAAGTTTAGATTTGTGACTTTATTCCAGGATCATGACTCTTGACTTTGATTTGTAAATATAAGAATATAAAATCATTTGCTATTTTAAAGATACTAGCGAAGAAGACCATATACTCATAAGAAATATACCTCTAATAGCCTACTCAGGAGGACAATTTTCATTTAGATAAGTCAAGTGAGAGTAGTTTTGTTCACCTCTTGTGCTCCTCCCTTGCTCTTCTTCCCATTAGAAAAGATGCAGGTTTAAGATGCTTCAACATTGGCTTTACTACTTTATGTCCACTTCTTATTTTGGTAATACTTTGGCTGCTAAGGTTGCCAACGATGGGACATGTTGCTCTAACTACTTGTAATTATACTAATTTGTTATTATATGTTTTTCTGTTTTTTTTGTTACATTGATCCCTTTTCTTGAGGCGCCATTATACCTTCAACATGACTTTTACCTGGGCTATAAAAAAACGGGAAAGAAAAGTGGGAAGGAGCATTCTAAAGACCCCCCCCTCCTCCTCCTCCTCCCCCAGCACCAGCACCACCACACACTCACAATAATCTGGAGGAGGAGCTGTGAGGAGCTGTTTAATAAATTTATATGTCTTGATATCAACACAACAAACCCCTCTCTGCGTGGAGCAGTGATCAGCTGATCGACCCGTTCAGCTTCATATCTTGATCAATGTTCCTCTTTCGAAACTTAAAGCGTTATTGCTTTTTAAAGCTATTTTTTAAAAGTTAAAGACAAACTTATTTTTAAAGGAGGCAAGTGACGTCACGATCAAACATCAGTTGAAAGTTTTGCGTGATATTTTCTGCAACTGGACAAATATTATTTCTACTGTGATGTTTCAACTCAGCATCTGACTGAAGAAGCTCACCTTAGACCGGAAGGAGATGGAGGTTTCTGCCTTTGGAGCAGCCTCCAGGTTTCACATCGACTCCCTGCTCTCCCTCAGGCCGCCCCCTGCGCTCCTCACCCGGGCAGACCCTCCGGAGCTCAGCCCGGGCAGCAGCAGCAGCAGCAGCGGATGCTCAGCGCCTCCTTCCCCGCGCAGAGAGCCTGTTCCCCGGCTGGAGTCTGCTCTGCTGCCCAGTCACCTCCATCCCCGCAGCGTCAACTCCTCTTTTCTGATCCGGGATATTTTAGCGGACTGTCAATCCTATTCTGACCCACCACAGATCTACTCTGAGCCGGGACAGCTCTATGCCTACCCGGGACAGCCTGAGCTTGAACCCGAGCCGTTCCAATCCGGACCGGAAGAAGAGTATCAGGATAAAAGTCACAGCAGCTCGTCTTCTGACAGTGAGTGCAGAGGTAGGAGCAAAAATGTAACACATAAATAAGTCTGAAACCTTCTTTTCTGAAAAGTATTTTGTCTAAATATCTAACACATGTGAGACTGCAACAGTTGCAGTAAGCCTATGTTGATGATAAAAGTGAGGGCTGTATTTAAGCCTTAATTGTTCAAATGAATTCGTTAATCAGTGTTACTTACGACACATTGAAATAGTAAGATCCCCAATAAGAAGGCACACTGATGAAATAGTCTCTGTTTGATTATAATCCACTTATTTAAAATACGGGACGGTGATTTTTTCCTCTAAACTTTTATTTGCAGAACACAAATGATGATGACAAAAATATTTGGAGATAAAGTCGGCTTGGCCACATAGAATAATTCCTATTTTAATTCGCACTGCATCATAATGATGTCCTTAATGTGATAACAGCCTAATAATAATAATTAAAACAATCAGACAAGTTGTAGTAGTAGTATAGTAGGCTAATGCTGATGTTTTTTTAAATACTGTAGGCCTGATCAAAAATGGATTGTTTTTTTTTATTTTCAAATGTTCAAATTGAATGAAATGTTGATCTTATTAATATTTATATTAACGCTTTCACACCTGTCATGGTGCTTATTTGTTTTTCTTTGTTTTAAATAGCCTACATCTACCCAGGTCATTTAGACGATTTTTCGCTGTAAGCCTCTAAAACGCAATAGGCCTATGTGCTGTAAAACATAAAACACATGGACGAGTTATTAATCATTCCGCTTCTGGTTTTGATTGTTTTAGTGTCGGAGCTGCTCATTAATTATTTAACAGAATATGTCATCATTGAGAGCCTCATTTTTGTGGATTACATCAGAGTCCATTTAATGTCAAGTTACTCTGAAGTGTGTCACATTAGACGAAACAAAAATATTCATCCTGATCATTTAGGCTACAAAAATACATTTTTGTGCATCTTCGAACACACTGATTAAACTTTACCCCTTCATAAAAGGCATGACTCCTGTTATTGCATTGTATTTATCTATGTTTTATCTATTTAGAAAAAAAAAGGAAAATGGGATCTGAAATACTTTGACTGAATGTCCTCTATCATGGAGTTGATTCATTATTAAAGTAGCCTATCACTAATAGTCTGATGATGATGATGATGATGAAACTGTTTTGAACTTGACGATGAATATAAATATGACCCCTCACCTCATGCTTTTAAATTGTATTATTTAAACAACAGTTTTCTAGGCCTATTTGTTTTAATTTATGTTTACTCAAGGTCTAAAAAGTTAATTGAAAAAAACAACAACAACCCAAAACAAACACACAACCGATGTAAGGAATTTTAAGGACCTGCATGCAGACAGTCAAAATATTAAACTCCTGAACTGGGTCACCTACAGGTGTGATGTAATGTTTTTACCTGTCAATCATCCAGTACAGGGCGGGGCCTCGGACCCTGCAGTGTGTCGTCTGAAGAAACCCCGTAAAGCTCGGACGGCCTTCAGCGACCAGCAGCTGTCCAGGCTGGAGAGAAGCTTCCAGAAACAGAAATATCTGAGCGTCCAGGACCGCATGGAGCTGGCTGCTTCACTGCAGCTGAGCGACACCCAGGTCAAAACCTGGTATCAGAACAGGAGGTAACTCAATATGCATGTACCATATCACCAAAGAACAGGACATAAAGCTTTATAAAAAATAATAAGACAAAGGTCAACTGATAGCAGACATTTTTAGGACCCAGTCTCTTTCAGAAAAAAAAGGACAGAACCAAAATATTTTGTGTCTCTTTATATTTGCAACATTTCTGTGATTTTTTCGAATCCCGTAGTTTTTTTTTGGATTTGTGGTTCTTTGCATGTAATGATATTTGTTTTGTGTTTCTTTGGAGTTGTTTATAGGCTGTATGCGGTCCTTATTCAGGATGCTGTAGTTGATTTGCGTGTCTTCTTGGTTGGATGCGTCATGTTGAAGTTGTTCAATGTCTCTTTGTTGTCTTTTGGTGTCTGAGCCTGAGGTCGTGTTGTTTTTTGTTCATGATTCTGAATCCCATAATTATTATTTCTTGGCTTCTCTGTGGTTGTTTGGTATCTCTTAGTACACATGTGTCTATTTGAATTTGTTCTATTTATCTTTGTAGTATTGTGTGTCTCTTTGCAGGTGGATTAAGCCTATCTGCAGATATTTTGTCACAATAATTGATAATAAATGTGAATTTATATCAACAGAGTACAGCTATCATATATATACACATATATATATATATGAGAAAACTGCCAAAATATTGTGACCATTTCAAAACAATATTTTAAACACAAGTTGTAAAAGAATAAATGGAACAAAATAAAATAAATAGAATAAAATGAATGGATTACTTTTTAGCTATCTGTGGACCTGCCTGTGTCTTTGTCTGAGTTCAGTATCACTGCAGACAGACGCATGTGAGACATTTCCCGATTAATAATAAACACGGTGTGATCAATTATTCAGCAGCATGTGCTGTAATTAATGATAAATATTTAATAGAGAAACAAATCTGGAGCTTTTAGTGCAGAATCTCAAAGAGGACGGAGAGCAGGGGAGACACTAATTTTTTATTTATTGATTTATTTTTATTGTTCCATTACCACAGAAAACCCTGTTCTGTGATTGGTTAGTGGTCTAAATTATCAGCCAGTTCCATAACTATGATATATAAGAAAGCTGAAAACAAATATTATCTCACTTGCTTACTGCTTATTAATAATGTACTGTAGCTAATGATTAGGAGTGAAAATGAATGAATAAGTGTGTGTTTCCTCTGTCAGAACAAAGTGGAAGCGTCAGTCGGCTGTTGGTTTGGAGCTTCTGGCTGAAGCTGGCAGGATGTTCCTACCTAATCACTTCCTGTACCCTCCCGCCCAACCCACAATGGACATGTACCTGTACAGGAACCACACTCACCACCACTTAGCTCCACCTCTGCTCCCGCGGGTCCTGACCCACACTGAACCACACCCCCTCTGACAGCTGGGCATTGGAAGACTGGTTCTCTCTGGATGACATACTGACTGCAGGAACTTTATGAAAAATGTTTTCTCTGTATCAGTTCTTGGAACTACATGTGTGCTCTGCTCAGGAAGTGACACTAAATCCAAGATTAGGAGGCAATGATTTCCATTGTGATTTACCAAAAGGATGGGACATTAACAAAAACAAGGAAGACTCAGAAGAAGGAAAACAATAGAGATTTGTTGGTCCACAGATTTCTGCAGCACACAGCCAGAAAAACTGGAAAAACTACAACTCCATCATTTCTACCAGTAGTAATAACAGAAATGTATCCGTGATATAAGGACAACGGTTACAGAAATGCGAGCAGTCAAAAAGTCAGAAACATAGACTGTAATGGAGGCAGCATCCGAGTCTGAATGTGAAGCCAGTGTGGATGTGCCTAAAAACTGCATTCCTTCTAAAGGGCCGGCAGGGACCTGATTGCATAGAAATCTATGAGGAAGTCTTTTTTTTACTTGATTTATTACCTCAGTAAACACTACCCCGAGTACACTCTCTCAATCACTAGTTTTGTCTTTTTCCAAAAACAGCATCAGCATTGAGTAAATCATGGTCCCATTTGGAGTTCAACACCAGGGTATATATTTTATAGGGCGTGGTTACTTATGGCGGACAGATCACTACCCCCGGAGACCAGAACGGTTTTTTGCTACTATTAAAAATCACCCTTAAGAGTTTGCCTTTTTGTTTTATGATGGATGTAGCGTGCCCTTATTGGCATCCAAAATTATTTAACTACTATGAAATATTGTTGCACATGGCTAGCCAGTTAGCACTAGCTTGAGCTGATCATTTTTGTTTACTTGTGTCATTGCTCTTCTTCAGCCCCACATATGTTCACTTCTGTCTCCAAAAAAACAAGACTCAAAAGGCAAAAATGCCACAAATCGAGGCTTAAAAAACAGTTTACAAACCATCGGGTAACCTCTGTGTGGCCATGTCCACTTCTTAATTAAAGTCTATGAATCACACAAACTGTTATTTGGAGCTTTTGGCTGTTTTGAATGTCTGTATAGAGGAATATTTCTTTTTTTTTCTTCAATAAATATGCAAATAATTCTTATTTTTGCTATGGTATTCTTTATTTAAAATGGTCAATTACACATAAAAATCATTTATAAAGTTACTAAGTTTTAAAAAACGAAAGGATTTGAAGCTTGAGTCCATTCTTGCAATGTTTGGGACTTGTTTAGGTCCTGTCAGGGATTTTAAGTCTTGATTGTTTATGAGTTGGAATCAGACTTGTTTCAGACTTGTAAAGGACAGAACCATGTGGGTTTGACTCATCAGCTGCATTTATCTTGTTCATATCCAACTTCTCCGTTTGCATTTACGGAGCAACACCAATGTTTGCTTGTAGTATTTAAAAAAAGAATCTACTCACAATTCAGTTCAGAACAATAAAAACCGCTCACGTTACATAATTGGCAGCCAGAGAATGCACTGATGTTTGATGGATGAATGATGAATGAAGACAGAACAATTCATCTTTTGTGGGTAATATTTGTTATACACTTCAGATTGTTTCAGTCATTGGTCCAATCAGACGGCTGAACGTTTAATATAGAATAAGAGCAATCAACTGATGAAATATTAAGCAGTGGGTGAAATATTGATGGAGTTAAAAGGCAGCGATTACACATCAGACTGACCAGAACACTCTGAATAAGTGCTGTAGAAACAAACAGGCTTTTATTTCTGAAACAGCCACTTTTAAAGTTACACTTAACTTTTAGATTTATTGTTTATTTATTTACTTATTTTTAAATATTTCATGGTTTTTGACGGCGGTCCAGTGGGGAAAAAAAAGGGCTTTGGTTCTTTTAAAGTTGATGTGTGAAAAGCTTTCACAAGCAAACACACGAACACACACGGCCGGTTTACATTTGAGGCAGAAATGAATCTGAAACTTAAGAGGTCAAATGGATAAATCATTGACTCTTCACTCCTGAAAAATGCTTTAAATGGTAATAAAAAAATGTATCTTTGCGTTAATGTTTTTGTAAAATGTCAAGAGTTAAGAGCCGCAAACACTGACATGTCTTTAATTTCTGAACTGACTGTCACACCTTCTCTGCATCATATTTAGTTGCACTGAGAGAAAAAGAGCAGATCAGAACTTGGATTCATCCTGTGTCTCATGAGAGACAAAAATTGCCTAAAATCAGATGAAAGTATCTGTAATGCAGTACTCGGCTGCAGCGTTATCCTGTAGTAGTTATACAAAACTCCCAAAATATTATTACTGCCGGTGATGCCCTAATAAGTTGAGTTAAGACACTGCTAGAGTTCATCTCTGGCACACGACTGGATTTTAGGTATCAGAGGTGTTAGGTTTCAGTTTGCAGACTGTCTGAGTAGTATCCACTACTAGCCTTCATCTGGCTGAACACCTGATAACAGTTGTGTGCAGAGCTAGTGAAGTGAAGGTGGAGAAGGTGGATTGAAAGAGTGAAAAATGTGCAAATGTGACAAAGCGCTATGAGGGGTCGGAAGACTAGCAAAAGTGCTATATAAGTACAGTACATTTACCTGCTGGTGAACGGAAAAGGAAGTCCTTAAGCTCTATCTGCCGGCTACACCGGAAGCCCTGCAAAGTTGACTCTCAATCCCAGAAACTAAATCATCAGATTTTTATTTTTTACTGCTTTATTAAATTCATCAAGCTGTAAAATACAAGTTATTTATTTTTAAACATCACAAATGTTGAAAACACTATTCTGAAGTTGTGAAAAAATAAAAAATATATATTTATATTTTCATATTTTTAAGTTGTCTGTCCTCAAACACATAATGAGGTGTGTGACGTGAGCGGCTCCAGAAACCTCAACACTTGACTCCTGGCACAACACACCTGAACACTGAAGAATAAACTGAAACCTTTTTTTAAGGTTGAGAAGAAATTAATAATGATGTAAATAGTTTTTGTGACATTGTTTCAGATTTTTAAATATTGCCAAGAGTTCACATATTTTAAATGTGTTCAAATAGGGAGCGAACTTGACCTCACAACTCGAGATAAGCCAATGAGCCATCAGTAAAACTGTAGAATTTTACATTATAGATGCGTCTTTGGCTCAGTTTGCTTGGACATAAAAGACTGAGTGTCCTCACACCACCCTGTATACATGACACAGGTCTAAACACACCATCAGACTTTTATAGGACTCCCAGGATTTTCCAGAACTTTTAGTCATCCTGTAAATAATTCAGAACTCCTCACTCCTGTCCCCTATGAGCCAAATGTCCAGTGCATCTTCTTGACCAGTCAGCTGTGTATATCGCCTGTTCCTTTCTAGCTGCTCATTTCTCCTCCTCTTCTCCTGACTGACCAAACTTCTTCTTCTTCTTCTTTTTCTTGGCATTACCTTCCTCCATCCCATTAGAAAACTCGGAGCGGGAAAGACTGAGCTCCCTCTGACTGGAAGAAAACCTGCAATGAGAATAAAATCACACACTCAAGTAAAAATATTTTTAAATCAAGACAGTTCTTTCATGTTCCAGCAGCATGTTTTTCTACTTGTCTCCTTCTCAATACTACTACTAATATTATCATACTTAGGTTTCTATTTGTATAGGTGCATGCTGGCAAGCCTTGAAACTTCAACTGTAACACACACATGAGCTCTGTCTGTAGGCAAGCTCTATATATGATATTTATTTGATGTTGAAGGCCCTTCCAGGAACAGTCATTGGAAATTGATGTTGGCTATAAATAATGTGGTGGAGCATTGTTATAAATCATTCTCTATGAAAACTGGATCTGCCAAATAACCCAATAACATAAAAAATAATCACCCAAATCAAAAAGGCTGACCAGCACCCAAAGGATTGTAGGATACTAAGAAGGTTTTAAATGAACCCACACACACACCTGTAATTATGTCTCTACTGACCATGCACAAACAGTATTGGCAGCCTGTACAATGTGGTGTGTGTGTGTGTGGTTGAACCATGTCCAGACAAGCCTGCTGTGAAGAGCAGCTGTTAACAACAACAACAACAAACACACAAAAACCCAACACACAGTACAGATGATCGGTGACTGAGGGGAGCAGCAGCTTTAATTATATATAGGAGTGTGTGTTTAATGTGTGTGTCTTACTGTCAGACTTCTCAGCAGGAGGTGTGTGTTAATGAGCACGTGTCAGACATACACAAACAACACTGTGTGTTTTCACATTTATAGAAAATCTTTAACATTTCCCCTTTTAGAGACAATTCCAAATGAATTAAATTGTGTTTTTTTTGTGTGTATTTTTTTAACAGAGCTGTTGGTGGAGGAGACACCGTTTTGAGTCTACTTTTGGATCAATAAGATAGACAATGAATGAAAGAGAACTCCAACTTTATTCAACACTTAAAAGTTATCAAAATAGGGCGCAAGATTATTCCTGCATTGTTTCTATTGCTTATTGTGATGTTACATTTTGGATTCTTCAAATGCCTGATATTTTAAAGGTTATGTAAGTTCAAATCTCAGAACCCATCTGCTTTCATCGTCTGATTGACAATGCAGTATATGCCTCAGAAAACAGATGCCTATTTCTCCATAATTCTTGGAACATAAACCAGAACACTTCACATTCTAAAATAATGACGTACACAGATAGGAAGTTGAAACTGTTTTAAATGTATCATCAACAACTTAAGTCAGAATCATTAGCTAAGTGTTACAAATACAGCAGTCTCTAGCTGTTTTAGTCATTGTAGGTATAGTTGTATTTGAGTCTTAATTAAAAAAGGATTATAGAAACAAAGATCCCCCTCTGTTTTCACCGGTTAAACATTTTCATAAGTCTCACCTCTTCTCCCCGGCTCTCCTCTGTCCTGCTCCGCCGCTCGCCTTGTTCTGGTTCTTGACGGGGCTCCTGCTCTGGTTCTTGTTCTGGTTCTTATTGTGAGTCTTGGCACCTCCAGTGATGGCGCTTAGGCCCTGCGGAGCGTCCCGAAGGCCGAAGCTCTTGGCCGTGTGTCCCAGGTGGAGGGAGCGGATGTGGAAGATGTGTTTGAGGTGGGCAGGGTAGGTGGTGTATGCTCTTAGGAAGGACTGCAATGCTGATGACATCACAGTGACAGGTTATAGATCACTGCAAACTTCAAACTACAAACACTGCACAATTAAGGACACTTACCTTTCTTGGCGTTCTGCACTGACTGAGTATCTGCGTGAACAACGTTTTCAAACTCCGTCTGCAGGACCGTCGCTCTCTCTCTGGTCTCCTGCTCCAGAGCTTTGGATGAACTCTGACAGGCAGACAGAAGGACAGACAGAAAGCTGTCAATAAAGACTAACTGACTCAGAACGAATGAATTACAGGAAACTTATACTACTAATACAAATAAAATAAAATGTACGGCAAGACACAAAGGACACAGTGGCCCTGAAGGGAATGTTCAGGGATGAAAAGAAGCCCCTCAACCTCCCCCTTACCATTCTGCCTTAAACAAACCAGAAGCAAACACCAATGTTACCGTGACTCCAAAAGTAGAAACTAATTTTTTTTTTTTTTAAAGTTCAATGTCTCCTAAAGTTTTGAACCCTTGACGTTACTAATATAAATCCAATCAGAATTGTTTTTTATTGCCAAGTACATTTACACATACAAGGATTTTGACTGGGTGCAAAACAATTAGCAAAGGAAACAAAGCAAACATTTAAATAAATAAGTAAATAAAAAGTGCAATTTCTAATTTATCATACACTCATTCAGTTTTCTAGATTGATTCCAAGTGGAAATCTAAATAAAGAGTTATCTGTTTCACAAAGATTGCTCTCTGCTCGGGTGCGCCTGAGAACCAAACTAGATAAACACCACTGAGGTGACACCGTCTGATTCTTCAGCTGATCATTCTGATGTGGTGTTTGTGAGTCTAAATCTGGGAGAATGTTTAATGTTCAACAGATGGATGTGTTTAAATAAAGGTTGATATAAATCAGTGTGGTGTTGTTGGAGAGCCAACAGCTTACATATCTCCCCTGACTGGTCACAAGCATCAGATCATCACAGACACAAACTGAAATCTGAAGCTGCAGTTCTTCTGTTTCAACCTGCAGCAGGACTCACATCAGGTTACTTTGGAAAGAGCTTCAATGAAACTGTCTGAAGTGATCCTTCACAAACACGTCCCCCGCTGGTTTTACTGTCACCACCAGTCTTTTTACACCGTCTTTGTTGGTGCTCTATAGTCTGACACTGTCATGTTTGGGTTTTTAAAAAGAAAAAGAAACAAGTAATACAAAATCTTTCGTTTCATCTTTAAAGGAACAGCAGGTGGTTTCTCTGTCTGAGCCTCAGACTATCAGCACAACTGAGCACAATCCTGGACCACGCTAAGACCCCCAGAACCCCAACAACCCTCCAAAGAAGAGGAAAAATGAAAGCTGACATCTTCAACATACTAGTAACAGGCAAACAAAAAATGCATTTCTTTGCAGACTACTCAAACCTGTTAAAGATCACCAAAACCATATCAAAGGATTTTGCATACAAAGAAAACTTAGACACAGAAGGAATCTCAACATGCACAATTGTTTACGCCCCCCCCCCCCCAAAAAAAACCCCAAACAAACAAAAAACACCAAAACAGACTCATAACCCCTAGAACAGTACATGGAACCAACTCAAATCCCCAGACAGAGACTTTGATTATGACCCCTAACACAAACACATCCTAACCCTTCCACCTACCCCATAAACTCCCTTTGAAGACCCTCAATGAAGTGATTTCTAAGGGAAAGATCCTTAGAATCACCTCTCAGACAGATGGAAACTAATCTAAGAACCTACCACTGCAAAACACAAAAAGAGCACTAAAGTGCCCTAACACTGTTTATTGTTAGCTCCATCACTTTGCTGGGGACCCTCCTTCAAAATGTATGGGAGTCATGTCAAAGAAAAGCCACTTTAAGGATGCAAAAAGGGACGCCTAGAGGTTAGTGGGCGCGCCAAATGTACAGAGGCTGAAGTCCTCCAACACCGGCGGCCTGGATCTGCATTCTACATGTGTCTCCTTTCCCATATCTCTCTCTCCCTGGATTCTGACTCTAGTCACTATCCTGTCTCTAAATAAAGGCATAAAAAGACAACAACAAACGTTTAAAGCCTGAATACCCCCTTCAACATCGTTCTTTTTAGAACTTGCCTCCTGAGAAGCAATTGGAAATACAGACCTCTAAATTGATTCCCCTGACTCATCGTGTCACTACTTAATGACTCTCCATGGTGTTATTTATGATAAAATGAGGGTAATGTGAATAAAAGTTAATTGGCCAAGTAAAAAAATTGAAAACGAGATAAAAGAATAAGACAGAGGGAAAAAAGTTAAGAGATGAAGCAGGATAAGAGGTGGAACTGACACTGACGTGGAGTGAATAAATACATTGATCCTCTGCTTTTACATTTTAGGGGCATTTTATATTCTGTAGTTAATCAGATATTGTGATGTTTTAGACTCCTGGTACCGTCTCACTGACACCAGGAGCCAAGAAAATACCCCAGTAATCCAAATAAACCCTAGGAAAGTTAATGTTTATCCATCTCACAAATCCCTGGGACTTGTTCATAAGGCCTGACACTTTTTTGGCCGATTCGACATGTTCAATCGGTGTCGGTTGGTGAGAGGAATCACTCTGATTGGCTGTTCCGGTGTTTCAAATAACTCCAGTTCTTGACATAGGTTCAGGAAAGCCCCTTGAGCCTGCCGCTGTAGTATCCATGCTTTCACCCATTAGTGCAGTTTCTCCTTATTTGTCACCACCGCCTCTTCTTTTTCCACTAAAAGACCAAGGGCTGACAACACCAGTGCCATTTTCAACTTTTAATCACACATTATTCTCGAGAAGTACCTATATTACAAGTGGTGACCGACAGCGGTGTGAAAATGGTCGTACAATAAAAACGGACCACTGTTGCCTGCTAGCAGGGGGAATTATTTCCTCTCACGCATGCGCAGAACATAAGTGGTGGTTGGCCGTCAGCTGTAGTCGCGAGGCAACGCCACAGTTGGTCTTCGTCGCAACTAGTTCTTTGCCGTCTGCTTGGTGTGTCAGGGCCATTAGAGGCCAAAGTGTAAGGATGAAGGTTTCTTACCTTGCTGTGGTATTTCCCCCGTCCCTTGTAGGTGTCGTCCATCATCAGGCAAGAGAGGATGTCCTGCAGCTTCATCTCTTCCAGGCTGGAACACAACAAGAGCCATAAAGTCAAAACCAGGCAGGGAACCTACAGAGTTGATGGTCAATGAAATGGAATCAGTCAACACACCTGATTTTGTGATTGGTCAGCTCAGGGATATAGGCAGTCTCAGCAGGTGTGAGGAACAGGAGGCTGCTTCCTTTTCCTCCGATCCGAGCTGTCCGACCAACACGGTGGACGTACTCTGCTGCTGCTGATGGAGGAGTGTACTGTAGACACACAAACTTATGTTATGACCACTCAATGCACTTTTTCTCTTCACGTTCACCCATTCTCAACACATTCACACACTGATGGCAGAGGCTGCTGCGTAAAGTGCCCATTTATCAAACAGTACTACTATTCCATTCATACACATTCACATGCCGCTGGAGTAGCAGCAGAAGCAATTCAGGGTTCAGTGTCTTCCCAAGGACACTTTGACATGTGACTGCATGAGCTGGGGATCAAACCCCTGAACCTGCAGTTGAGAAATGACTTTACCACTGAGTCACATCTTAGTTGGGAGACAATGCTGATGTTAACAATTACCTGAATGATCCAGGAAACAGCAGGGAGGTCCAGACCTCTGGCTGCCACATCCTGAAACACACATTTTTATTTGAAATCACAAAATCATAACACACAGAATGTAAAGCTGGCAGTGTGGTGTAAATCAGAAATACTGACTGTGCAGAACAGGACTCCAGATTTAGAGACAGAAAACTGCTGAAAGACGTCTGAGCGCTCCTGTAGGAGTTGTGAAACAAACAATGACTACAGATGATCACACAACCATTCAAACATGGATTGACAATGAGCACAGAGAGAAACCTTACCTCCTGCTTCATGTTGCCATGAAGACGCATGAAGCTGAGTTTAGGCTTGTTATTGGTCGAGGGGCCAGAGAGGACTGAATTGAAGAGAGAGTGTAGAAACTCGACAGCTTCACAGCTCGAGACGAAGATAACAAGTTTGTTCTGAGAAAACTGAAGGACAGAAAACAACAGTCCATCAGTTTATGGTTGACTATGATGGTTGACTTGTGATTTTTTGATCAACCAATTAAGCCACTGCAACAAAGAATTAACTTTGTTATTCCTGAGGGGAAATGTGTTTTGTTGAGAGCATTTCTGGCCAAATACAGCAGTTCCTTTGGCTGCTAATATTAAGCAAGCCTATAAAATCTATGAATGTCTTTGACATGAAAAGTGGTCAAATTGTCTTCAGCTTAAAGAAAATGCAAAAAAAAAAAAAAGAAAGAAAAAGACTGTTCAAGTTTTATTTTATTACTTACCTTGCATTTGTCCAGTATGAAGGCAGCCAGACATACTAGTCTGATCTTACTGGGAACAACCACAACAAACTGCTTCAGATGCTCTGGGACAGCAAAGCTCTCTGATTTGCTGGCTGTGCTGAGGTCAGAAGTAGAGCCTTTGAGGTCAGGGGGGGCGGAGCCAGACACTTGGATGCTGACTGGATCGTCCAGACAAACATCTGCTAACCAATTCACACCTGAAACATAGCAGGACCTTTCATTGTCTGCTCTGCTTAGGCCAGAAACTTGTGTTTTTGTTCAAAGAAAAAAACCTTTAATCTCTTACTTACCGCTTGTCAGTGTAGCAGACAACAGGACGTTCTGTCTGCTTGGTCCTTTAGAGTTCAAACTGTTTAAAATGACTGTCAGATCCTTCTCAAAACCCAAGTCCAACGTCCTGATAACACACACAATCACAGGAGATAAATCGTCTAAAACCGACACTTTGCCCATATTATGCTTATTCTGGTTTTATATGCCCTTTAGTGTGTTTTCCATGTGTCCTGTGCATGTTTAGGCACATCTATTTCCCTCGGAGCCAGAGTGGCTGAGCAACTGACCAATTACGGCAGAGCCAACAGGCCGACCAATCAGATCAGACTTGGCACACATGGGGACTCTGAACGTGGGCACTTCAGAGCCTTAGAGAGAGAGTCAGAAGCGAGCCGGTGCATGGAGCGGCAGTACATGAAAACAGACACCTTTTTCGAACTTTAGCTATTGTGAACATACTTTAGTAGGTACATAGATTAAATATACAAACCCCAAAAAGGGCATAATATGGACTCTTTAAATGAAGCTTGACTGATAATTTCACAAAGCTCACATCAAAGTACTCTGTGTGGTTCTGGGACTTCATTGCAACAAAACAGAACTGATATGGAGTTCCTCAAGGCTCTTTACTTGGTCCTCTATAATTAAATGTTAACATGCACCCTCAAGCTTAAATTATGAGAAAAAAAGTATCCATACTAATTAAGACAAAACTTAAACATACAAATACATATAACTGATGATGTGAGTGGGCTAGTGTAAAGGGCAATTACTGTATAATCTTTTCACCTGGGAATTCATTTTTACGTGTATTTTGGGGTCTAAATTAATAGTGGATAGAGTATAAGCTGGATGTGAAGAAGGAACATTTGCAATATGAAATATCTGATGGTGTATGGAAAGTAGCTTGTACTAGTGCTCTTAAGTCTTAAGTCTGTAAGTATTTATCTTAAACTATTACAGCATCAAAAGGTTAATACACACTTATGTGACACAAGCAGATTTACATAGATGTAACAAAACATACCAGACAATCTGCAGAAAATGTGAAAAATATTCAGGCATAGAAACAAAGAAAACATATGTATGAAGCGTGAACACATTTAGCTGTTAGAGTTGTAAATTACCGATCAGCCTCGTCCAAGATGAGCCAGCGAACAGCACTAAAGGCGATGCTCAGGGTGTTTTTGATATGATCCACCAGACGTCCAGGAGTTGAAACCAGGATGTTGATGCCTTTACGCAGCCTGAAGAGGGGTCAGACAAACCATCAGTTTTCTTTACGGCAACAATTTTCAACACTTTCTGATATTTAACTTTAAATGTTGTGATTCTCTTCCTGCTCTCCAGACGATGAACCGTTTATCTTCCAATGATTCTATGATGTTACCTCCAATGTTTTTAAGACTCCCAAGAGTAAATAAATCCCCAGGATGTTTTTGTTTAAAGATTACCATAATTAGAGACTCATTTGTGATTTTGATCTGTGATTTAAGTATTCTCAACTTCCCCTGAAACACTTCTTGAATTGTCTTCCTCCTTATAGGTTTAAGGACCGCAACAGCAACTAGCAGCACTTCTAAAGACTCTGAAATGAGGAGGAGAAGTGAGAAGAAGTTGAGAAGGAGAAGGAGGACAGAACAAGGAGAACAGAGTCAAGAAGAAGATGAGGCGGACTAGAAGAGGTAAGTAGACAAGAATAGAAGAAGATAAAGAATAAGAGAAAAACAAAGAGAGTGGGACTGGAGTAGAAGAACTTGAGGAGCTAAGGAGAGCAGAAAAGAAAAGAAAACTTGAGTAGGAGAGGAGAGACGAGGAAAAAGAGGACAAAGAAGGAGAAGAGTGGGAGTATTTGAGAACTAAAGAGAAAATGAGGACAACCAGTACCTTGCCTTCTCTGCTTTCCTCTTCTCTCCTCCCATCAGAACACCTGGGACAATCCACATAAACGGCTAGAGAGAGAGAGAGAGAGAGAGAGAAAGAGAGAGAGAGAGAGAGAGAGAGAGAGAGAGAGAGAGAGCGAGAGAGAGTGAAAAACACCAGAGTAAGCATCCGTTGTTGTTAGCACATTACTTCCTGCAGCAGTTTGAAAGACACTAGAAAAACTAACCGAAAGAGACAAAGGAGAGCGATTGCTTTAGCAGCAATCGAACAAAATCCTGCACCTGTGCTGACAAATGTGTTTCTAAGATCTTGAGAGCATTACCGCTGTGTAACAATCAGAAAATATCATATTGTATAACTGTATCTCTGCTACTGGCGCGCGCTCTCTCCACTTGACTGCCCACAGCAGCGTTAGCTCTCTCTCATGCTCGTTGCAGCTTTGGGATGAAAATATGACTATATGTCGGATTTTTCTTTCATAATATCAATTCCTTCCGGCACTATGGAAAAAAGTACTCAGTATGGAAAAAGTTTCAATCATTTTGACATTCTCAGTTTAAAGTTGACACATCACGCTTGTGTTTGAATCTGTCACCTTTTTTTGCCATGCCTCCTCTACTTTGCTAATTGAAAGTATAGCTGCAGGAGCTGTTTCAATTGAGGTTACACCCCTTTTTATAGAACATGGAGGAGGTGCAGCTTCTGACCGATACTGCAGACAGTCAGCATGGCCAGCTTCGGATGTTTTGGCTTCACTTTTGGGGAGCTGTCATGTCGTTCATATTTTTTTTAATACAGTCTTCAGTTACAACAACAACATTGGACAAATGATGACATGATGAGCTGGGATTTTATTTGTGTGTTACCTTAAGGAGCTTCTGGAAAGTCTGAAATGTCTGCTGGGCGAGCTGATGGACGGACAGACAGACAAGAGGAGAGCAAATGAATCAACTCAGGTTAAACAGCTCTTTACACCTACAGCCTCAGCCTAAGTCAACCAAAGCTATCAGTTTAACCCTTTATGGGATTCTCGCTTACACCTTGTTTGCTCGTTTCTAAAAATTAACACTTCATGACTGGATTCAAAGTGGTGGTACTTAATACACGAAATGAATACCAAGACAAATAGGGATTAAATCACCAAAACCACGATTTAGTCTTTGACCACATATCTTCTGTTGTGTAATAACTAAAGCGTCCTGATGCGTTCCTGTTGGGGATTTTACAGGAAAATTGCAAACGGAACAAGATATATTGTTGTTTGCAGTTGGAACAGCCAGTATTTGTATACAAGTTTTTTTTCTTCGCTAGTGTTTAGCTTAGTTTATCATAAATCCTGGGAAACAGCTTACTCTGTCTATGATTAAAACCATCTAGATCTCAAAATCACAGATAAACATGTTTTGAAAATCTGGTTTGTTTGATATGAACCTAAACTGGACTGTAAATAATTTCAGGTTCAGATTTGTGACACCAGACTTCAATTTCCTGAAACAATCATCCAACAAACTGCTTAGTTGATCAGTATAAACTGCTTAATAATGAGTTTATCAGCCATCCTATGTTGACACTTCTGTGTCGCATGTTTTCTGATTGAAAACACAGTAAAGTAAATCTGATGCCATAGATTAAAATAGAAGAAAACTAATAGAATAAATGGACTGATAAGAAAACAAATCCTCATATTAATACAGATTTAAATAATGAAGCAAAATGTCAAGTGTTTAGACCGAACCTCTCTGGTTGGGACGATGACGACAGCCAGAGGACCATCTGACCTGCTGATCTTGGGCTGGACCGCCTGCAGACTCTGGACCACGGGGACGGCGTAGGACAGGGTTTTACCTGCAGAGACAGAGTCCACCATCAGAGCCTGTTTCTTTGTTTACACAAGGTGGAACATCTAAGTCATTGTTCTCTTAGTCTGTTGGTCTACTTTTGAGTTAGACTTTATTTTATTGAAATAAAATAAAAAGTTTACTTAGAAAGCATGACACTGATGTGTAGCAAAGAGAGTTTAACTTACCAATAACAATTTCATTTCAATTTCATTGCTTTTAGCTTAAACTTCATCTTTGTTATGAAAGATGTTACATCTTACATTAATCTTATCGCAGTTGGTAATGTGTCCCATAGTTAGAATCCTTTAGTGGAGAAAGCTGTTAGTCAAATGTAAACCTACAATCTTGTATTTTACAAGAAAGAGGACTCCTGAAAAACAGAACAAGAATGTAATTTGTACCTTACCTGAACCCGTCTGAGACCGGACTACAGCGTCTCGTCCTGAGAGAAGAACTGGAATAGTCTGTTTCTGAACACTAAACACACAAATACACAAAGTGTAAGCAGAAAAAAAGAGGCTTATTTTAGTTGTAACAGCATGAAATTGTGTCCTCAAATTGTACCCCACAGCATAAAAAAATATCACTGTTAGGATTAAACCTGAGTCAAGATGTCAAAGGTTTTTAAAGAAATATATAGTGTCTCTTTAAATGTTGGAAATGTATTTACAATCTCACCTTGTCACTATGGAAACATTCAGGACTTTGTTCAGTGTTGCCACCTAGTGGACAGAAACCAGCCAATCAAAAACCACAACAATTAGCATGCTCTCGTGGTAAATGGACCACTCAAAGCTGTTTTAACACGACACAATAAACCACTCACACTAAATTCACACACTGACAGGATGCTACGTGAAGTGCCAATGAGTATTAACCATGCCATTCATGCACATTCACACACTGCTGGATATGCCACTTGGGAGCGGTTCAGGGTTCAGTATCTTGCCCAAGGACACTACGGCATATGGCAGCAGGAGCTGAGAATTGAACCCCCGACCTTCGGGTTGAGAGATGACCGACTCTACAACTGAGCCACAGCTCTTAATGGTTTATTACACTTATATTTTCCAGTTAAGAGGGGAGAAATATTGCACACATTAAACAATCATTCAAGTTAAGGTCTGTCTGTCTGTTACCAGATGTGGATGCAGGTCCAAGTCTGAGAAGGAGTCACTGGTGAAAATCTTTTCCTTTACCAGAGAGACGGCAGGTCTGAAGGAAGGGAGAAGGGGGTGAGGAAGAGAGGGGAGAGGGAGGTAGAGAAGTAAAGAAATAGTGTGAGTTAAAAAGCACAGAGTTATGTATAACAGATCTATCAGTAACAGAAACAATATCCTCTGATGGTTATGGACTAATCAGGATCAGAGGGTGAAGAGCTCAGCCAATCAGATTGCGAGCTGCATACCTGTGGATTTCCGGGATCTCGGGGTTGTGCTTGAACAAAGAGGACGTCTTAATGCTGCTCCTTCCTGTTTCCTTAACTCCATCCTTCTTCTTCTCTTTTTCTTTTGTCTTCTTCTGTGGTGCCCTGCTGTCTATCTGCTGAGCAAGAGGGGACAGAAACATCCAGAGATAATTATCAAAATATGTTAAATATTATACAATCGTTGAATAGGTAGTTACCTTTTTTAATGTGGCTCACACATGGTTCATAACAGCTGTATGAACACAAATATTCTAAGCTTCAGGCCTGATCTTTAGTACTACAGGTGTGAGCAGTGTTTACCTGAGTGTCTGCCTCCTCCTCTTCCTCCTCCTCCTCCTCTTCCTCCTCCTCTGCTGTGTCACTGTGCTGGAGTCCCCTCTCTTTAAAGGAGCCTCTTTTCTTCTTTGCCGGCTCCTCCTCTTGGGAGCTGAACTTTCTCTTCTCTGCTCTCTGCTTCTTCTGGAGATTCAAATCAAGAAAACGAAACTGACTTGTTAACATGTTTACAGTTCAAACATTTTTCTTGTTTCTTGTGCAGAATTTAAGTCCAAGACAAATTTCCCTACATACACTATGAAGTGTAATTGAGATTAAATTCTTGTTATATTGTCATTATCTGACATTAACCTCTGTTCCTGATTTTGCTATTATAAAAGCATTAGCTCTAATAACAATAGTAATACTCATGGAATTAAAATAAAATATCTCTCTGACAGTCACAGGGTAGTACTCACCAATGTGACCCATCTCTGCTGAGCACTCAGAGGTTTCCTATTGGTCAATGATGAGGAGGAAAAACCGCTGTGGATGTTCAGACACAGCTGGTCCTCTGATGATGACATCATCAACACACCTGACCGACAATCCAACAGACTGACAGACGAGAAAGAGTTGTGTTTGTACACAAACGCTGCAACCTCTCACAAAGTCAGATGATCCTCTTTAACCTGCATTTAAATATTAAAAAGATATCAGACTCAGGCCAAATGTAATTCAGAAAACTCAGAGGTCATATATTACTAAGACAGAAAACAAGTAATGACAATTCATGCAGTTACATGTAATTAAGAGTTTATTTCAAATATTTACGACCAACCAAACAGCTTTCACTGTTGCATTATTACCACACAGACAAACAGATATCATGATGTATTTCCTCACATTCAAGTATTTACGAAAAAGTATTAAAACTCCTCCCCGAATGTTAATATTTTCCTGGTTAAGTTTAACATTTGCATGAATACATTAAAACATATGAAAAATAATAACAGTGAACGTACACTGTCGTATTACAGTGAACTATACTCAGTAACCTCTCACTAAGGTTTTTGTCTTCAATATGTAATGTTTATTACTTAGGTTAATTGGTCAATACATTTTTTTATTTACTACTTGTCCTGACTGTAACTTGTAATATCGTGTTTTTATATATTTAGCCAAATACAAAAGAAAAGTAATGAATCACAACATCTCTCTTAAGCATTAACATTCATTATATGGGAAATCACTTGAGTAACTTAATGGACCTGTCTTAAAGTTAGAAAGGCAACAAGACTATTGACAAATGTTAAGTGCACAATACAAAACTGAGCCGACCTAAAGAGAGGCCCTCACTCATGTGTTTGAGGTTTAAATTATACCTAATCATTGTGGCTTCACTGTCGGAAGTGCAAGGAAACGTAAACCTGACGTGATGTTCCGTTGAATCGTCGTTTTGTGTATTTTGCCTGTTTAGCGGGGATACCTCTGATTCTTAACGAGGTTACGAAGCTCATATATGACAAAACGTGCCGTCAATGTTGTTGAGGTTACACATTACAGCGGAATGCTCAAACATAGTGAAACACGTATAAACCACAGATTGTAAACAGACACGTGTGTACGCGTCTGTGTGGCTCAGGCTCGGCTGTAGTGCAGCTTCAAATCTAAAGCTAATGCAGAAAAGGACGGAAAATCTAAAAACTAAGACTGGATGAACTCACCGTGAAACTGAGGAATCCACAACACGCGTGGGGGAGTGGAGAGCTCTTCCTGATACGTCACTGAAGCACCGCCTCCTTCACAGCTGGTTTTGGTAGACATGCGCAGTAAGCAAGCTTTAATTATAAGGTATTTCGTAGCAAAACTGACTTTTTTCCTCCTTTTAAATGCAAAATATAAGCAAAAACACTATCAAAATCTGAAACACTAAAACATAGAAGCACACAGATAAACAAAATAGAAATACAAGTTACCTTCCAAAGGCCACCATAAATAAAGTAGAAATCTCAATACATAAACCTCTTCCTTTAATTAGTTCTATCTGTGCTTGTAGTCTAAATGTGTTTTTTAAATTGAGGATATTACAAAGATAATACCTTTATTTGTACAGCATACAAAAAAGGGTTTACAAAGTAAGTTTCTGGCAGGGGGTTTGATATTAGTTGCGAAGGTACCAATGCCGCTCTTTATAGGATAGGTTAATTGTGAATTGAAGGCTATAATTTTTGGTTTTGAGTTTAGGAAAATGTTGTGCCATCCAACAGTTAATGTCAAGACAGTCTCTGACAGCAGCTATGGCTTCTCAAGTTCCCAGTTCTCAAAGGCTAGTGACAGTATATCTGCGTGTCGTCTGCATGGCAGTGAAAGTAGACTTTGTGGTGCTCAATAATTTGGCCAAGAGGCAGCATAGCCTACTGTAAATAGAGAATATCTAATATATCTAATCAGACTTAAAATCACCACAGATAACATTAGAGAAAAAGAACTGATACCTATGGTGACCGCAAATGTTCTTTCTAAAAGATAAGAATAAAACCAGCTAAGTGTGTCCTCGACATCCAATCAATATTTCAGACTATCGATTAAAAATAGAGTGAATAAGTTAGCAAATTAATAGATATGCAAAAGTACATAAATAAAGAATATATCAAAGGAAAAGGAAGGAAGTTTTAAGAAAAATATTGAATCCTTCTGAATTAGAACCTGAGGTGTTTAAACAGACCCAGAGATTATAATCAACCCAATCCACAACAGACCTGAGCATCATCAGACCTTTAAATCCAGACATCAGGTGTGATAGACTCAAGAATTAGACCTGAAAACAGAGGGGCCTGAGCAGAATCAAGACTAGGCCTACTCTGAAAAAAGTATAGGACAGTTAGAAAGTCAATCACATCCTAAACCGTCTGAAAAACTAGAACAAATTCAGAGGTTATCTAGCTGATCACAGTTTCGTTCATGGGGTTAGGTCCAAATTGACTCAAACTAGACCCAGATCCCAGTCAGATACTGGGACCCAGCCATCAGATCCAAGAATAAGATTGGATCTTAATTGACCTAAGCAGAAAAATCTTGAGAATGTTCAAAACCACCTGACAATGGGCCCAATATAAAAACAGACCTGAGTATAGTCAGGAGGCTCTGAAGCTGAACACAAGAGATATATTTTGGACCTGTCAAATCAGGGTGATGTAAGATCTTTTACATCATCGTTTTAAGCAGGAGGACCTGTAAGACCACTCCATTTGCACCAACTAGGATACGTTTGGGGTGTGGTGCCTTGCTCAGAAGCTTCTCTGCAGGACGGACAGTGTTTTCAGTCTTTGCAGGAGATGAGTACAAACTGTCCGTCATCACATCAGCAGCCGTCACGTCCCATTTCCTTACTGCTCCGCTTCCTGTTGTCGACAGGAAAACTTAAAAATAGAGCTGTCAATCACAAGGCGGGCCCGGCACCGCTGGGACTCAGACCGGCGCTCAGGAGGATTAATTATAGTCATTTACCAAAATCAGCACTTTGAAACGTCGACAGAGTGTTTGTGTGATTGAGCGAGTTATGAAAACGAGTTTTCAATCATGGGCGGCTCGTCGGTGCCGCAGGACGAAGAGTTGTGAATAAACGGAGATATTTTAACATGAAGGTTTGAAGTAAACGTCCTAAACTGTGATAACTGCTGTTAGATCAGAGGAGGGAGACATCAGTGGCTGTCACTCACACACTCTCACACACACAAACACAACTCTTTTTTAATATCACTGATACAAAACTGAACCTGTCTTTCTTACAGTTTGACTGTTTGTCTGTCAGCCTGAAACTGTCTGTCTGTATGCAGAGAAAGTGATTGTCTGCCTATCCAGAACCTGTACGCCCCACGGACCCTTAAAGCTTGCAGATAAGCTTAAGGTCGACCCTAACATGGAAACAGACATGGACCCCTTGGTTGTCTATCAAACCAAGACATAAAGTCATTGACACAGTTTCTCCGCATCTACAATAGTTTTAGGTAGTAGAGGTAGCAACTGCTGTGAATTTGCTTCCTATTGTCATTCTGTTTCTATCTGTTTCTGACTCTGTCTCACTGTTTGACATGATGATTAGTTTCCAGTTCCTCTACAGTTAAAGTACATATAGGCTATAGGGAAAACACTTTGTTACAAATAAAAGTCTTGCATCAAAATGTTATTCTCATAAAATGATGCAAGTATCACCAGTGAAATGTAAAAGTTAAAAGCAGAAAAATGTCCCATAATGAATATAAAATACTATACACTATAATTACATATTTAATAACTCTTGAATTAATGTATTGTAATATAACAATATGAGAAAGAGAAAACAGAAGAAATTGACTTTTATAGAATTATTAAACTTAGAAATAAACTTAGCTACTTAGAATTAAAGTCTATTTTTCATGCCTTTATTGTCAAACAGGAAGAGATTGACAAGTTTTTTATCCTGGTCTGAAAGTGTTGGGACACTTACAAATAATAAAACGGTCTAAATTTGAGCACATCTTCTCTTAAACTGACATCTGTGATAAATGTTTCTGATTTATTTCTAAAAATATGAAAAAAATATTTTGTTTATTTTTTTTAAGTGTGAAAGGCGGAAAACATCTGAACTTTGAGACGTGAATGGTTTCTAAAGATGATGCTTGCCTGAGGCGATGTTCCTGCTTTCTCATTTCACGCACACACACCACACTCATTTGTGTGACTGAGTGTGAAGGTCAGAGGTTCAACATCAGAATGTGGCTACAGGTTTCTTATTCTTCTCCTAGAATTTACATATTACAAATAAAAGACGTATGGATAATGGAAGATTTTGTTACCCACTAGACCTGTGTGAGCAGAATACTGAGGTCAGTGTGTTATCTACCTTTTACTATAATCTGTACTTTTACTTTTGACATTTTAGATACATTCTCTTGAGATAATTTTTTTAATCTTGCCCTTATTTTTAATGCACCATGTATATTAGTGTTTGACTGTGGAATAAATACAAAAAGTATTTGATTAGCTTCTCTTGGGTGCTTCAGCTGACAGACCTGAAACAGACTGTATTGGATGGATCATAATCGTTGGATGCAAATCTGCTCAGACCTTTTGAGTTAAAGAAAACAATTCTTTTCAACCAGAATTGTATCTCTTCAAAGGCCTGACTACCAGACTCCAGTGGTCAAAAAAGTTACCTCAAAGAACAGAATACTTGATTGTTTTGTCTTATAAAACTGTATTTTATTTATGTGTTACTTATTGTGTGTGTTGCATCCCAACTTACTATTTAAAGCACCAGGGTCACAAAACAACACAAACAAACTAAGTGATCAAGGCAGCAGCAGACCAGAGACTCCCATAAATCTGCGAGGTAAAATTGTCATATTTGTTCGTGGAGTCTGATGACTTCGACATGAGGACCATTTAAAGGCTCTTTTTAGTTTTGAAAATAGCATCCTACTCATAAATATAAAGTATTTTGGGACAGACCTATACTTAAAAAACACCTGCATTCCCCTAAAAGTAGAGCATCTATGTCACTTAAAGTGAGGTAAGCAAGGGAGATGTGCAATTTGGATTGGATTAAAACTTCTGAGATTACTCAGCAGAAACAGAAAGATCTGCAAAACAGAAAAATTATACTTTTCTAAGAAAACATATTTAAAAAAGAATGATGAAGGAAAGTTAAGAGAAGAAGTAGAGCAGTTATCATTCTTCTGGTCTTGAGTCTGGTGTCTCGAGGTGTCAGTCAGTTGTCAGCCTGCTCTCCAGAGCACCAAACACAGAGTGAGGATCCTGATCAGCATCAATATAAACTACATCTGGAAACAAAGTCTACATGCACACACACGCACACACGCACACACACGCACACACGCACACACACACACACACACACACACACACACACACACACACACACACACACACACACAGAATAAGTATGGTGGCAGTGTCATCAAACAGTATGAATTAGTTCATTTGTTGGAGTCTATTTTCAGCAACAACTGAACATTTGGTAAACTATTGATTGCGTTTGTGTGTGTACCTGTATTGCAGCAATGTTCATCCTGTACTGTCTCAGTGTGTGTGTTGCAGTATTTGTGCTGTCCTCAGGTCTGGTCTTCAGTCTGTCCTGGACCTCAGAGCTCGGAGCTGGTCGAACTAGAGAGTGAAACCTGTGGCAGGAAATGACATCCCAGCAGGAAACATATTTGACATTTCACATTTGTACCTTCACATTACATTCAAATGAACGAGCTATTATCTATTCTATTATGTATGAACTGTACATGCTAGGGTTAAAAGTAATCAGGTACATTTCTTGATTGGAAGAGAACATGGTTCTTCCAGTAACTCTCCATGGGTAGAAGACTAGTCTACTGTTTCATGGCCAGGATCAAATTGTCAGCTGCCTTTGACACAGTGTACCACCAACTCCTCCTCTCTACAATCTCTGAGCTTGGTATCTCAGGGTCTGCCCTCTGCTGGTTCATGTCCTACTGCTCAGGGAGAATCTTGGAAGGGAGACGTGTCCAAATAGCACTGCGTATCCACAGGGGTGCCTCAAGAGTCACTGCTAAGCCCCCTTCTCTCTTATATAGTATATAAATGCAACCTCACTTGGTGCAATCATCTGCTCCCATGGTTTCTAATACCATTGCAATGCTGATAATACCCTGCTCTTCCTACCATTTCCACGAGTCAACATGACAGTTTAGGCAAGAATTTCATCATGCCTTTCTGATATCTCTAAATAGACGAATGAATGCCACCTTCAACTCAAACGTTCAAAGCCTGAGCTCCTTGTCAATCCACAGATCAAGATCCAGCTTGGACACTGAACTCATGCCCACAAAGTCTGTCCAGAACCCTGTTGAGATTATTGATGACAAGCTTTTTAAGTTTCACATTGCCTCGATAAGCGACTTGGGTTGATAAATGGACAAAAGCGTCTGCTAAATGAATAGATACAATGTATCTTGATAGAAACTCAGTGATGTGTGCACCAGACATGTCTGTTTTATGGAAATATTTCTTACGACTGCTGCTTTGTTGTCGACACATTATACTAAACTTTTACTATAACCATTTAATTTTAAACTGAGATCGTTTACAGATGTGGTCAATATACTGGTTAAACTGCTTTTCCCTTACGTCTCTCCACTGACTGGATCTGTGGCTCTGAGAGTGATTCTCTCCAGACAAACATCATCTGTCAAATCCAGGAGGAAAACTCTGTGAGGAGAGAGCAAAGGTCAATCAGAGGTCATTCAAATGCACCCAGTCAGTGAATAGCATCCTGAATAACATGTTTAACTGTTTTACAGACAAAGAACAACCTTAATATTTAAAGAGCTTTTGTATTTTAAACAGTTATTGTGTAGCAGCAGATCCATTAGGGTGAATATTTATACGGCTGCATTAAATATTCATCAGCACTCAACATGCTGCGTGCGGGTGTGTGTGTTTTTAGAACTCCTGCTGCTCTTGAAAAGTAGCAGAAGTAGAATTAGTAATAATAATAGTAGGAGTAACATTCTTAGTACTAGTAGTAGTAATTTAAGTGGTAAAGGTCAAGATTGATTCATGTTAGGTTGGTGCTGGCACTCCTGTAGGCTCTTGTCTTGTTGCAGTACTATTACTAATAGAAGTAGTAATAACAGTACAAGCAGTAGTAGTCGTAACAGTAGTAATAGTAGATGTATTAGTGTGTAGTACCTGTTGGGCTGGTGCTGGGACTCTTGCAGACTCTTTGCCTGTTGCAGGTCACTAGGGAAGCCATGAAGGATCCAGCCTCTGCAGCTGCAGTCCACTCGGCCCAGACGTTCCTCCAGAACCTGCAGAACCAGGGAGTCTGGAACTGCACCAACAGGTTAAACCATACTCAGCTGTTTCTATACAGTAAGTTCATATCTGTAGTTTAACACCAGCAGGAGCCTATAATGTATGTAAACATCATTGTTCACCTACAAACAGGGGTGTGTAATGTGTAACTGTACAGTAACAACATGTCTTGCATAAAGCAAGCTGATTGGTTGATGGCAATGTTCTCGTAAAAAGGGACCTTCAGATCAGTCCAGTATGCTAATAAATCCTGGATGCTGATCTGTCAGTATCAGAGGTGGAGAACATTTCAGTTTCTGTATCAGCAGTATGAACAAGGACTCTGTCAGCTTTGTTCTGACAGTTCTGATTATTAAACACAGCTGTGATTAAACACACACATATAGAATATGTGTGTCAAAGAATAAAAGACATGGGGGAGGACTGAATGTGTGTGTGTGTGTCTGTGTGAGTGTGTGGGAGAGTACAAGGTATAAAAAAAACCCAGGGGATGCTGAGAAACAGACAGAAATCAAACAATTTTTATTCCCACTTTAAGCAACCTATCAATCAAGATTTCTGTTGCTGTGGACCGATAGATTGCGTGTGTGTGCGTGTGTGTGTGTGTGTGTGTGTGTGTGTGTGTGTGTGTGTCTCAGTGCGTGCATTTGTTGTTACCTGGCCTCCCATGATCCAGGTAAGGTTTAATGTTTTTACCCAGAGTTGAACCATCAGTTGTTACAGACCTCAACAGCTGACCACAACACACTGACAAACAAATGGACAGAATGGACATGATTAGGTTTCTTAAATAGATTAAAATAATCATAAATTGCTCGTTAGTATTTTGCACTTACAGACCAATCATTGCTAGCTCTGGGCATTATTTAAGCTATTATAATGCTAGCACCAATTACAATGGATCTGGGGACATCTAAATTGTGTGTGTCAGTGTGTGTGAGTGTACCATCCACCATCCTGTATTTCTCTGACAGCAGCCTGGCCTGATGCTTCTTCCCTGACCCTGGCGGACCCAACAGAAGGATTCTGGGAGTTCTGGGGCAACGACGTGTCCGGACAAAAGCCAACACTTAGTGAAAACACACACACACACACACACACACACACACACACACACACACACACACACACACACACACACACACACGAACATATAAAACAAATACTACATATATTACATTAAACAATGAGTGAATCTAAATTTCCTGCATATTGGATGAGATCTCCAAAAATATGGCCAAACGAGAAGCCTTATGAAGGCCTTACACCAAACAATTTATTCATTAATCTTACTATGGATGACACTTTTTCAATGTTCGATAGATATCATTTAATGGAGTAGAATGGAGTAGGGATGCCCCTGAAATCTTAATCATTTGGTGTAAGGTGGTCATAAAGTTCACAAGTTTTCTAAAGTCGATTTATTTCTCATCAGAGTTTGCGGATGCATCATTATTGACATTATGAACTACCTACTTTAATGTTGAGCCTTTATATGATTAAATGAGCGTTGAGAATTTGCAGCGTAAATTGTTGTCTAAAAGCCAGTGCTCAAACAAAGTCTAGGCCTTTTAAAACAAATAACTTTGAGAAAGAACAATACAACAAATACTAGGAATTTAGTCATTCAAGAGAAATTCTTTAGGATTGTGATATGTGGGTAATTTCATACCTTGTTGATAGACATCAGTATGAGGTTGATCACTGTTGATGATCTTCAGCACATGCTGATAGGCTGAGGTCAAACCTGTAACCTCACAGCGGTAGCGCTGCAGCTCAGCCAATCGTTGCCTTTCTGACTGACTCTGACTTCCTCCAGGCGCATCGCAACAGTGTCTTCAACTGGCCATATGAAAGTCTTATGGTAAACATCTGCAGACAAGAATTACTGCTGTTAGGAGTCATCTTTTTAAAACTCCAACTTGTAACAAGTGATTGCTTGTTTATTTGTTTTTTCATGGACTCATCTCATAGGACGGACTCCCTCACTGCATCAGAAAAGGACCAGGTATAATCCTAAAGTTGGATTTTTAACCATTGTCAGTACTGACCTGTTCAACCCTCTGCTATCAGAGAAGGATATGTTTTCCATCTCCATTCTACTTTGTGTTTAGAACAGTTTAGTCTTGAGTTATTAATCTAAGAAACCATATGTGTCAGCTGACACAAATAAACTGAACTTTATTTTTTAATTTGGTCCAATACTCTTACTTTGTTAGAACATTGATCTTTCTGTTTACCTGTTTGAGGTTTGATTGAATGCAGTCAATGTGTGGCTAGACTGATATGAACTCACCTCCTGTTATTGGATCCACCAGTTTCCCCTGGCGCCTCTCCAGCAACACATCATCAGGAGCCTCCAACATCACTGGACAGACACAATAAAATGTCTCAGAAAAAGGATGCATATTTTAAATTCAGTAAATATACACATAATCTCTTGTCTCACCAACATGCTCAGGGATAATTCCGACCTGCTGAAGACTCAGAGCCTGCAGTTGAGTCTGAGGGATTCCCTCCAGCACCCAGCCCTTTAACACACAAACACGCAAGCACGCACGCACGCACGCACACACATACATACACACACAGTTGGAGAGATGTCATTAGGCACAAATGAACATGAATTAGCTGAGACTGAAACACTGTTCATTCTGTTCAAGCTGAGCAAAAATGGGGAGGTTTGTGGAATGTTTTCTAAAGCAACGGTGCAGTTGATGTGTTGGCTTTTCAAGAAAATCCAGCCGTCAAATATGAAATCATAAATCTAAAGGTAAGACCCTCAGGATGTTTTCTGTTTTTTTATAATGTGAAAAGGCACATACAGGACCTTTAAATCATTTGAGGAGTCTGTGAGCACAGTTGGAGTTACAGTAAAGTCCTCCTAGAACCTTTTCATGTCAGAGGGAGTGAATTTTGAAACTGAAACTTTGTAAAGAAAAAAAAAAGGAACAACGTTAATGATTGTATTCGGTCTTTCTTCTGTTTTTACCCAGCAGAGAAACACATCATGGAAGTGAGTGGTCATTTATGAGAGTAACTAATGATCATGTGCCTTTTAATGATCAGGCAGGCAGGACCAGTACCTGGTTACATGTTTATTTTAAATCAATTAATCAAAGCTTCCTGAAGTCATACAGCATAGAACGACTGCTGGACCTTCCTCTGTTTTTAAAATGTTCCCTTCATTGTGCTAACTGTTTAAAGCTGTTCCAGAGTGAGACCTAACCTTAAGGCTGTTCATTAAATTCTGTCTCCTGTGTAACTTAAGCTTAACTCTGTATGAAGCTGAAGAGTTTGACAGACTGAGGCTGACAGTAGCTGTATACCACCACTCTCTGCTGTCTGACAGTCGCATGAAATCTAAATAAAACCAGACTGTTTAATGCAGAGCGCTGCTCGTTTCCTACTAGGATTACTCAGGAGTGTTACTCCCTCAGAGCTGCCTGCCAGGCTGAATAAAGACGACTGACAGCAGCCCTGACACACATACATGTATGACAAGCTGCATGTGTGCTGGATAAACGACTAGCTGATTGAGTTCTTACTGGTTCTTAGCATACGATCAGTTTTTGAAATTGATTATTTTATCAACACTTACGGGGAAGCCAGCTTTAAAATGGAGGTTGGAGTTTTAGGCCACAAATCCACTGAACCACTGAAAGCAAGCCTGAGCTGCAACTATATCAGTGTCATATCTATAAATACATCCATGGCCAAGATCTCACCAAATTAACAAAATCATCAAGATATTAAATGGGAGAGCAGTACAGAAAACACTCAAATAAAGCACAAAAACAAGTATGTTTGAACTGTTAAGGTGCTACTCAGCAGTAAGAACTTTATTTTGAAGTATATTTTTAATTCATTGGCTTTAAATCATTAGGAGGAGAAGCAAAAAAAAGAGTATGATTCATTTCATTGCTTATTTTATAAACATTAGTCAGCAAATATGCTGTCAAAATGAAACCCTTTTTGCTCTCAGTTATATAGTTTTTGTTTTCATATCGTAGTTAACTTTTAAAAGGCAATGAAGACATTATCTAATCAAAGCAAACACTGACGCTAACAAAAAGCAATATTCCTTCACATAGGAGTAGAGACCAGATATTAAAATCTGTGTCACAGATCTTCTTCAACATGCTTTTGTCAACCCTTTATCTCGTTGAACAAGCTACAGTAAATTTATCTCTCACCCTGTGTTAGTGCTAACATTGATGTTAGCATCTGCAAAAGGTTAATGTCAATATTAGTTTAGCTGAGATTATTTTTAGCTTCTCCACCAGGTTCATATCAATATTAGCTTGTCCAAACTACTTGTTGCGAATACACCAACAGTCTAACATCAAGGTAGGCTCAATTAACGGGCTAATATCGATTACCAGAGTGTGTTTTCTATAAAGAGCCAACAACAACAACCACTGCAAAAAAACAAGAAGAGCACTTGTAACAACCACATTGTAGATTAAGGTCCTTAACTCCCTGTAAAAACACAACAAAAAGACTTTCTGTTTTGCCATACAAACACTATAACATTAATAAGCCTGGAACAGAGACACATTATTGAAATCTGGGGAAATAAAAAGCTGGAGCTTGTTCTGAGAAGTTTTAAACATAGCAGTCATGATAATACAGATAACCAAAGTAAAGACAGATAGACAGCAAGACGGAGAGATGGGTGAAGTATTTAATCTGGCAGGAGGAGGCGGGGTCCAGATGGGGGCTGTCAATCATTCTCCTCTCCTGCGTTTACACTGACAAACGGAAAATAAAGACATCACAAACACACACTCACATACACACACAATCACACACAGTCCCAGGTGTGTTTGATGAGTTTAGCCTGCAGCCAAAAACAGCCATTAGCAGATGAAAGTAACTGATAATCACACACACATTCACACACAAACACACACACTAAACTCTGATGCTAAATGCTAAACGCTGAAGCTAAACGCTGGAGGCTGAAAGAAGCAGCTGTTTGTAGTGTTTAGAGAAAAAAAAAACTGAACGCCAGTTTACTGTTGATCACTGAGAGGCTGCTCCAAACACACACTTTTACACACTGTAACACACTGAACACACACCAACTGACTGAAGATTAACTACAGAACAGAGGAAGACAAAGAAGTGTCAGACAAAGAATTGTCTCATTGTTGTCGACCAAACTGAGTAGAAACTTTGGCTCCATGTGATACGTATTTAAACATTAAACTCAACAATAAACTGTTTCAGATAATGAAAGTCAGGATCATATAAAACATGGATGTAGTCTCAGTGACGTCACTCATTGGTTACTGAAGGGGGGTGTTAAACCCCAACAATGGCAGTCGGCGTATTTAAAATGCTGTCTCAACCTAACTTTTGGTCAACCTAGAAACAGGCAAACAGGTTGAGCTGAGGCGGGCCTTATGGCTCCTAACAAACAGCTACAACGCCCCTGACTGCAGGCATATCAGTCATGCCCTTAATTATGCATAACTTTTATCCTTTATAACAATAAAACAGTTGGGTTTTAAAAAAGTTCACCCCCCGTACAATATTTGCAGATAAAGATACAGTATGAACTATTCAGACTTAAACCATTTTTTGTTCCAGGCTGTTATTATGTTTATTTACTGTTGTCAAAATGGAATTTGTCAGGCTGTATGTAACTTCCAGGTATTTTGGAGCAAGCCTTAAGTGGACACTCAAGGAAATGCAATTTTCCGCATACTGAAGGTTTCTGCTTGGTCAAGTTCGGCTCTTCACCAAAGATCCAGAACAAGGAGGTGATGTACCTGAAGCTGTTCTCAATAACTGACAAAAAACGTCTAACAACTGCTAAAAACAACTTAGCAAACTAAAAACTATCAACTAGCACCAACACATGGAACAGCTCCTTTACCAAGGACCACCAAGAGGACCGTTCAGTTTTAAAGATGTAACCTTTGTTGATAACCACTGAAATTTCCCAGATCAATGAGAAGTAGCTCAGAGCATAGAAACTTGGAAACTGGAGTAAGAAATGTCAATAGAATGTCCTATATACATCAATAAACCCTAAGACCACTTGAATTTCTCACAGGGCCACTAGGTCTTCCTTAAAATGAATAGAACTGAATCTAGAAACTTAAACCCTTCCCACAGGACCACTTAAGAAAAACCAGAAGAATCTCCATAACGTCACGCAGAACCTCTAAAAGAATCAGAAAAACATCCTAAATGTTTGCTGGAATCTTCTCCACTACTGCTAGAATTTCTTTGGTCCACAATAAGCCCCAAAATAGACCACTTTAGCTTCCCACAGGACCTGTAGAACCTCCCTCCTTGGTGACAACAACATCCACTTCTGAACCTCATAAATGATCATCAAAAAACCCTGGGTTCAACATCTTTATTGATCACAAAAACAGCAAAAGGAAAACTATAATCTCTTCATTCATCACTTAAGGTCCTAAAGGAGTCCAATAAACGAACTCTTTAAGGACCACAAAACTTTCTTAAGGTTTGAAATAACCACCAGAATCCCTATATATACCCACAATCCTAAGAAGGATTAATTTATTACTGAAAAATATGTTAAAGGTGCAGAAGACTAATTCAATGGCCATTACAACCATTACAGCAATTTAAACTAGAGCCATCAAAACCATCAACAATTGACCCTTTTCACCACTAGACTCTCCTCAATGGCCCCTTGAAAAAAGATCCTAAAAGATCTCCAGAATCAGCTTAATGAGCAATAAAACCTGTTATAAGCATACATTCACCTAAACAGATGGGCCCTATAGGCTGCTAATGACAAAACCTCCCAAAGAAAAATTCAAATATCTAAATGATGATGATCCTTTGCAATGACCACTAAAACACCCTAAAGACCATGGGAAAGTTTTATACACTCTAATGTTAGTTCTCCCCCCTCTGCATGTGTTTTATTGCCTAACATTTAATGTGAAGGTTTTTGAACAAAGGGCAGACATTCAATCAGACAGATAAGTGGAGTTGTGAGCTTCAGTTTGTGTTGTTGTGTTGTTGTTTTTTTTGCAAGTGCCGGTGACAGAAGCTTCACTTTCTTTAATTTTCTTAAACTGATCAGAAAGCAGCCCGTGGTGCCCTGATGAACGCTGACAGGGAACAGGACGTGATGCTAATAAGGAGCAGCAGAGAGGACGAGCCAGAGTGAAAATAACACCCATGATGTGACAGCAGCACGTCTGTTTGATCAGCTGATCCCTGGGGAAACACGCCAACATGCTATTCAGCCTGCTGGGAATCATAGTACGACACATCAGCGACCAGAGCGCTAATTATTATCATCACAGAGGCATATCAGAGAGGGAGACAAAGAGAGGCAGAGAAAGAGAAAGAGAGACACACAGACAGGTCTGTCTCTCTGTCAGTGTTCTCATTCAGACTGTGACAAAAGTTTAGATCAGGCAGACTGTCACTAGGTAAATGGCAAAAATACTGTATGATATGGAATTGTGTTGCAGCTAAAGAGAGCTTTAAAATAAAATAAAAGTTCACTGTGTGTGTGTGTGTGTGTGTGTGTGTGTGTGTGTGTGTGTGTGTGTGTGTGTGTGTGTGTGTGTGTGTGTGTGTGTGTGTGTGTGTGCGTGTGTGTGTGGGGGGGGGGAGGTCACAGAAGCCTAAAATGAAGGAGGAGGATGTGGTGTTTGCTGATGGTGGTCTTACCCTTTTGAAGCAGTCCACATTATCCAGTCTCTGTTGAATCATTCGGACTACTAACTCGCAAGGAAGCTCCTTAATACAAACACACAAACAGATACACAGTGTAAATGAACAGGTCACCATCTTGTCCTGGAGTTAAAATATCAGTGTCAACCTCTGTCTCTGTACGATCACATGACTCAGGTTTACATCTGAATCTGAATCTGTTTTGTGTACTGAATCACAGTGAGAATAAAAAAAACTTAGTTGAGTGTGTGTACCTGCTCTCTGAGTGTGTATTGGCGGGCCTGTGCACTCAGCTCTGACGGGTCCTGCAGTAAACTTTCTATGGTAACATGAACAGCTCTCAGCTCAGCACTCAAATTTTTGGCCTGAAGGACAAAAGACACAGAAGAAGAAGAATTGATGACATGAACATATACTCTGCAGTGAGTATTGACCACATTTCAGTTATTTTTGTTTTAAATCAACAGAGTTTGTCGCTGTCCGGAAGAGAATGCTAAACACACATATTGTCTCCATGATATTACTTACTACTGTATGCTTCCCAACAGCCGGAGGACCAAGCACTATGATTCTGGGAACTGATGAACAGAAAGACAGACAGACAGACAGACAGGCAATGTAGGTAATTTCTACAGACATCAACGAGGGGTTATACTGTAAATATAAAACTTCAATCTTTTTTAGTCAAATAAAGGGGAGATTTAGTACTTATGTCTTCTAAACATGCTCAAAAAGATGGATACAGAGGTTTTTTGTTTTAAAGAAATATAAAATATACATTTTTTATGTTGTAGTAAATAAAATAAAAAACTGATTTGTATATTACAATAACTGCAATTACTGGATTATTTGGTGTAGCTCTTCAAGATGTGCATGTTACTTGCCAGTTAAACATAACAAATAAATAGTTTTTCTCTCTCATCTCTTTCAGCTCAGTGACTTCTAGTGCTGATGAATTAAAGTACGAGTACTCAACACCTCCAACATTTTAACAATAGAGTGAAGACCTTATACATCATTTGACAAGATATTTATTTCACTTTTAACCAAAAATATTGCTGTATGGTAACAGTGTTAATCTCTGACTTTAATAAAATAATTGTATGTCTTTAAATTCTTTTAAAATATTTCAATGCCTTTTAACATTTCTGTTACTTATTAATATCAGCTTTTGCCTATAATTTTATAATCCGCCTGTTTTATTTTGCTCCCTTTGTGAGGCACTTTGTAACTTTGATTTTGAAAAATGCACTTTGAATAAAAGTAACTATTATTGTATTATTTAAAATGAGGCGCTAAGTTCAATGTAACTTTTAATCTTATTATTTTATCATTTCATAAATCATTATGATCTATTTAATTCAATTCACATTATTTGTGTATTATTTGGATATGTGTTGCATGGAGTTTTAATTTTTTTTTCATTATGTCCATTATTTTGGGAACTTAAACAATAAAGAATATAATTCTATAATTTTCTAGTGAAAATATATCAGGGAATGTTTCGGTTGAGGCAAAGAAGAAGTGTGATGGGGGATAAAATATTACTCCCACTACATCTGTGAATCACTTAATTAAATACAACTTAGAATATAATTTAAAATAACTTGAGTTACAAAAAAAGAATTAATGAAGTCAAACAAAATATTTAATTTCAAATGAACTGAGGCGTTCTGAGTGTCTTTTACCCTTTTTAAACTGAGCTCAAGAAGAGTCACAGCTCCATCTAGTGGCTGAGGAAGTTATTGACCACAATGAAAGTGTTTAAAGTTATATCAATATCTAAAACACCCCTTGTCCCTCAGCTGTGAGGTTTGTGGAGCTGAATGTGAATAAACAGAGTGAATCTGTTATATATGAATATCTATATCAATAAAGAAAGTGTAAACTCTGCAGGATAGCATGTTGTAGGAAAAATGTAATATTAAGACGCTTGTGTTTCATGTTCTTGGGCCTACTTAACATAAAGACGTCTTTTGATTGTTCTAATGCCTCCCCATAATCTCATCCCCATTTAAGAACCAGTCACTTCAAGTCAGACAGATCAGTGAGAGTTTTCCATTACTTACTGTCCGCGCTGTTCCTTTGCAGCAGATTGATCAGGTAACTGATTGGATCTTTAGGCTGATCAATCACCAGACTGGACAACATGCTCTAAAACACACACACACACACACACACACAGACTTAGTTTAGGTTAGGTAAAACCTTCTGCTCTTTAAAACCAGCAGACTCACTGGGAATACCTGCAGCAGGTGGAAGACCTTGTGTTTGTCAGCATAGACGGACATCTGAGGAGGAATCCTCAATGGTTTTATCGTCTCATCCATCACCCGGGGGAGGAAGAAATTTGGAGTTCTTTAGCTTTCTTTTGAGAACCTGCAGCACATTGAACTCATTCAGGCATCAGGAAAAAAAACTACTGAAGATGGAAACCTTTTGTCTTAGCTTTCCTCGTGTAAAGATTCTGTATAACTGTATTTAAGATGTCAGTCAGGACCAAAACAATATAAATCCACATAATGTACCAAGAGATACAGGCGTCATTATTTAAAAAATTAAAGTTTGATGAACATTTTAAAAACATGATCGTAGTATAATAGACTATCTACAAAACATAGAATTCTACAAATCAGTGAGAAATAAAAATATAATTTAATTCAAAACCCATGTTCTTTTTTTTCTTGGGTTCTACATATTATGAGCATTTTGTAATTTAAACTTAAAAATTAAAACTAAAAACGAATTAAAACTAAATAATTAAACTAAAAAAACTTAAAAATTAAATATATTTTTGTCTATTCTTTATTTCTTAACTGTTTTATTAGCATTTAATTGCTTTAAAGCTGAGTTGAATTTTGACCATTTAGTCTTTTCTTATATGCAGCTTAGATCACCAAGCTCGAACATCCTGCTTCAAACACACAATCAGAAGGTTTTTTTTTTCTGGCCTATTGTTGTCTGAAAAGAATATAAAACTCATCCTATAACATTACCAAGGAGTGACATTGATCTGTCATCAAGTCATACCATTTTATTGATTGCAGCAGTGGAAGAGGTTCTCAGATAGGCTATTTTAAAACATTAACACTATAATATTAGAAGTACTCTGTTTCAAGTAAAGTGACTGTGTACCAATGTATCAAAAGTACCATATAGCAGTACTAGTGAGTAAAGTTTTACCACAACAGCTACTTAGCATCTGTTAGCTTCTTTATGCCATAATTGTACCCGTGGATTACTTTTACTTCCTGAAACATACTACACAAACGTTAAATGTCACATGCACCAAGTTTATCAAAATAACTCGGTGATTAATTGCCGTTAAAGAACTAATCTTATTGTAAAATAAATATAAAAGCTTCTCACCTGCCTAAACGACCCGGTTGCCAAGTAGCGTTTGTTTGTTGCTAGGGACGAATATCATCGGTGCGCATGCGCAGCGGTGCTGTCGCCCTTAGTCCACATCTGTACTGAAATGCGTTCAACATAAAGATGAACCCAAATACTGTATTGATGAACCTCATAAACAGAAAATCTGTATTACTGTTATCAAATACCTAAAATAGCCCTTACAAAACCTGCATATCTTATAATGTATAACCTTTAATTCCTAAATAAAACCTTTATTCGACAGGTCCCATACTTGTATTTTGATTATTTATTTAGATCAGATAGTCGCAGTTTGTTGAGTCCCTATCGGAGTTGACTGCAATGAATATATTATAAACATACTTTGCCTAATCAGTTTATAGCTTGAAAACAAGGTTATAAGATCCATGCAGTCTACTTGAAGCCAAGGAATTCGAGGCACTTAAAATGAATAAATTCATAGCATTCTACTGTATTATTCTACCCCACTAAACCTCAGATAATTTTTTTTTATTATTTTACAAAGGCCTTGAAAAGGGACTGTAAATGTGGATAGTTTCAGACTAAAGTAGTGGTAGTGTGGTCAGCTGCCAGAGTCTGAGAGTTTCCTTCTACTAACGCATTTTGGTCAAACCAAAGAGGGATTTACAGTGGGTTAGTTATTTAGAAATAATAACAAAAATTACAAGTTTCCAGAGAAGTTTTTTATTTCTAGTGTTCACAGTTTAACATTCATCTCTTCAGGCTTGTGATACAATGCTACTGGCAACAAGCAGTGATCCAGCTATTTCCTGAAATACAGAGCAACTCTGATAAGGGAAGTTGCCATGTTGAGCTACTGATCAACAGGAAGAAAGAAAAGAAATCACCCATAGATCATCATAGACAGATTCATTCATTCACTTTGATTCAGTCCTACAGAACCCAGGAGGTCTTTGGTCTATGTGTTGTTACTAAAAAACTCTAGTTTACATCCTGGACTGAATCGTCATTTTGGCTTTAAGGTATGATTTTAGTATTTTGGATTTTAGACACATCAAAAGCAAGGCCATTTTTTGCATGGTGCACTTAAACAAAAGTAAATGCATAGATGTGAATAGACCCTTGTTGAAAATGTCTTGCATTTTGTCTTCTGAATCTTCGATCCTGAGATGTGAACCTGAGGCAATATTTTCCAAAAATCAAAAGAACATTTGGGTCTTTTTACAAGCAGACTATACATCATTATAAAAATAATAAGGCTTTTAAATGCAGGTGAAAGCCCTGGTGTGTCATCACAGATTGCCTGATTCCGGTTTACATTTTCAGGTTTCTAGATCAGAAGGAGAATCAGTCATCAAGCTTTCACATCTGTTATAACAATACACCAAAACTGTTTTCTTTAAAGCTCCATGTCAAAGTGAGTGTGTGATGGGTTAGTGCTGAAATTGCTCCAGAAATTGCTGAGTCTAGAGCAATCTGATGTTCGATATATGAAATAATTTGGCATTTTAGTTGTTAATTCAAAATATAAAAGATTAGCAGTAGAACCCTGAGGAACCCCACAACAAATCACAGAAATTGTATCGGAAATTATAATTTTTCTCTGTGTGTCCTGGACATTACTACTTCATAAGATGATATGTCAGATTTTGTTGCACAGTTCGTGCAGCTACCCCTTGTAGACAATATAATTACTCAGGAAACTCAGTTCAAAACAGTAGGGCTACTCATAAACTGATTCCATTCCTGAGGTGTTTTATTGCAAAACTCAGACCCTGTTTAGTGTTGTGATGCTGCCGTAACACCATGTGATGTGTTTGATGTGTTTAGTTACATGGCTAGCTGCAGAGGAGAAAAGAATTTGGCAACAGTAAGATAGTTTTTGTGAAGGAAATGTTTGTATGATTAACAATGCTGAAGTTAGCTTCTTTGTTAATTCATCAAAAATGAAAAATCAGTTTTTTTAATTGATAAGTGGTTGTCTGTCCAGATTTGAAGTCAACTATCAAACACATGTGAAATCAGGACCTTCAGTCAGTTGATACCTCATTTCCTGTGCAGACAGAAGCTAATAAATCATCAAAACATGTTACTAAAAATGCAGTAATTCAAACAGGTTCTGTTCTCTTTAATAGTCTGACATTTAATTTAATTCAATCTCAAGCTGATTCTGATTATCAAAGCAAAGGCACATTTAAAGTACTAACTGAAGCTCATTGGTGTAATAAGAAATGTAACATGAACTAACATTTGTTGTTGTTGCTGCATTTAGATACTAGTGGACTTGTATTTTTATTTTTTATTTTAACGTGATCTTTTGAATCACATTCAAATCCAATCCAAATGAGACCTAAAAGAGTTCTTTCTTTCTTTGAAACATGTTTGACAAAAAACATCTGAAGGCCATTTAGTAGTTCTCATTGGCACTGCTTATATTAACCTAAACATTTTAGCCCATTCTTTAGTCAAACTAGCTAACATGAATATGATTACCGGTACATTCTTTTCTAGTTAAATGAGAGATACTAGTATTTTTGCAATCTTACAATTAATACAGTAAATATGAATTTTCTTTTTTGTTAAACTGACGTCATAGTGTACCAACATTGACTCATAAGCAGTGAACACTCTAAATGTTTGAAACTGAATATAGCATTAGAGACTGTTGTTTAGCATAACTTGCTTTGTAATGTAAACATTAACCTGTTATCGCGTTAGCTGTTAGTTGTTAGTTGTTATTTGTCTGAAACAAATTAGATTTCTGTCTTTTCAGACGGGTTAAACTAACTTTCCACCCAATGTTAGTTCATTAGGATCAAAGTTTTAAACGTGGTGATTAAAGTAAAAGAGCTAAAGAAACTCTAATAAAAGTATGACTTATGTATTTATATAGTTGATGGAAAAAATTATTTGATGTAAGCCAGCTCCACTGGAGTATAGCTGCTGTTCAATCTCTCAAATAAAGCAAGCATGTGTTTGGATAACAAGCATTATAGGAAGTAAGCTTCTGTTGTATTTTTTATACAGTTTATAATTTTTTTTATTTTTTATAATGGCGACTGAAGGTCCTGATGAAGTGATGAAAAAAATCAGATAGCAATTGAAGACTGTCAACCAGCTAGTCAATTCGCTGTAGCCTGCCAATGCATGGAGCAGCTTATCTTTCTCACTCAATCTCCACCTTCATCTTACTCATCCTCATTCTATCCCTCCCTTTTCATCCATGTCTCCATCCCTCTGTCAGTACTCTGGCATTGTCTCATCATAGTCCATGATACTCAGTTCATGTCTCCGCTGTCGGACGGCAAGTGTCAGGTCTGCAAGGGGGGCTGGAAGTCCAGAGGCAGGGAGGCTGTGAGCTGAAACCTGGCTTAGGGGCTGTGTCTGAGGACTACCTGCAAGGAGGTTGGCCTCCTCTGCTTCACCACCCATGGGAGGGCTCTCTGGCTGGCCATACGCAACCTCCTCTGCTTCCTCCTCATCCTCCTCCTGCTCCTCTTGCTGGTCTTCCTTACCTTGCTCTTCCTCTTCCTGGCTGTGATTGGTCGGTCTGAACAGCTGCCGTGCACGCTGCTCCAGAAAGGAGCCTACAGCGAGAGGGGACTCTATAGGGGAAAGAGAGAGGGGAGAAGAGGAGCAGGATGGTAGGTGCAGGGGGGAGGTAGAGAGGGCCTCTACACCACCATTTAATATTCCCACAGATGAAGATGGGGGGAAGAGCCTGTGGCTGCCCTGAGGAGCTGGTAAGGCGACACTGCCGCCATTCAGCCTGAAGGTGAAAAAGACAACATCACATAAAAAACATTAGCTGTATTTAAAAAAAATTATTGGCTAAGATCGTTGTGACATAACTCAGACTGGCTTACCTGCTGCAGACATCCTGAGGCTGGCTGTGTGTCCAGGTGGAACTGGCTGTATAGGTGAAGCATCTCAGTCTGCAGAGTCTGGGTGACTCTCCTTAAAGCCATACATCGACTCTGGCAGGCCGACAGTTCCGCTCTAATACAGGAACACAAGCAGCAG